CACAGCTAACAGAGTGACAACTTGGGGTAGCCACAGCTAACAGAGTGGCAACTTGGGGTAGCCACAGCTAACAGAGTGACAACTTGGGGTAGCCACAGCTAACAGAGTGGCAACTTGGGGTAGCCACAGCTAACAGAGTGGCAACTTGGGGTAGCCACAGCTAACAGAGTGGCAACTTGGGGTAGCCACAGCTAACAGAGTGGCAACTTGGGGTAGCCACAGCTAACAGAGTGACAACTTGGGGTAGCCACAGCTAACAGAATGGCAACTTGGGGTAGCCACAGCTGCAACTTGGGGTAGCCACAGCTGCAACTTGGGGTAGCCACAGCTAACAGTGTAGCAACTTGGGGTAGCCACAGCTAACAGAGTGGCAACTTGGGGTAGCCACAGCTAACAGAGTGGCAACTTGGGGTAGCCACAGCTAACAGTGTAGCAACTTGGGGTAGCCACAGCTAACAGTGTAGCAACTTGGGGTAGCCACAGCTAACAGTGTAGCAACTTGGGGTAGCCACAGCTAACAGTGTAGCAACTTGGGGTAGCCACAGCTAACAGTGTAGCAACTTGGGGTAGCCACAGCTAACAGTGTAGCAACTTGGGGTAGCCACAGCTAACAGAGTGGCAACTTGGGGTAGCCACAGCTAACAGAGTGGCAACTTGGGGTAGCCACAGCTAACAGAGTGGCAACTTAGGGTAGCCACAGCTAACACAGTGGCAACTTGGGGTAGCCACAGCTAACAGAGTGGCAACTTGGGGTAGCCACAGCTAACAGAGTGGCAACTTGGGGTAGCCACAGCTAACAGAGTGGCAACTTGGGGTAGCCACAGCTAACACAGTGGCAACTTGGGGTAGCCACATCTAACAGTGTAGCAACTTGGGGTAGCCACAGCTGCAACTTGGGGTAGCCACAGCTAACAGAGTGGCAACTTGGGGTAGCCACAGCTAACAGAGTGGCAACTTGGGGTAGCCACAGCTAATAGAGTGGCAACTTGGGGTAGCCACAGCTAACAGAGTGGCAACTTGGGGTAGCCACAGCTAACAGAGTGGCAACTTGGGGTAGCCACAGCTGCAACTTGGGGTAGCCACAGCTGCAACTTGGGGTAGCCACAGCTAACAGAGTGACAACTTGGGGTAGCCACAGCTAACAGAGTGGCAACTTGGGGTAGCCACAGCTAACAGAGTGGCAACTTGGGGTAGCCACAGCTAACAGAGTGGCAACTTGGGGTAGCCACAGCTAACAGAGTGACAACTTGGGGTAGCCACAGCTAACAGAGTGGCAACTTGGGGTAGCCACAGCTAACAGAGTGGCAACTTGGGGTAGCCACAGCTAACAGAGTGGCAACTTGGGGTAGCCACAGCTAACAGAGTGGCAACTTGGGGTAGCCACATCTAACAGTGTAGCAACTTGGGGTAGCCACAGCTGCAACTTGGGGTAGCCACAGCTGCAACTTGGGGTAGCCACAGCTAACAGTGTAGCAACTTGGGGTAGCCACAGCTAACAGAGTGGCAACTTGGGGTAGCCACAGCTAACAGAGTGGCAACTTGGGGTAGCCACAGCTAACAGTGTAGCAACTTGGGGTAGCCACAGCTAACAGAGTGGCAACTTGGGGTAGCCACAGCTAACAGAGTGGCAACTTGGGGTAGCCACAGCTAACAGAGTGGCAACTTGGGGTAGCCACAGCTGCAACTTGGGGTAGCCACAGCTGCAACCCGGGGTAGCCACAGCTAACAGAGTGGCAACTTGGGGTAGCCACAGCTAATAGAGTGGCAACTTGGGGTAGCCACAGCTAACAGTGTAGCAACTTGGGGTAGCCACAGCTAACAGAGTGGCAACTTGGGGTAGCCACAGCTAACAGAGTGGCAACTTGGGGTAGCCACAGCTAACAGAGTGGCAACTTGGGGTAGACACAGCTAACAGTGTAGCAACTTGGGGTAGCCACAGCTAACAGAGTGGCAATTTGGGGTAGCCACATCTAACAGAGTGGCAACTAAGGGTAGCCACAGCTAACATCCACCTTACATCCACTAGACAACCATCATGCATCCACCTGACATCCACTAGATCCATTTCGCGGATCAATCTAACGTTTTATCGAAGACATCACGTGACAGAAGACCGTGAGTTGATTGGCCGAGAGATTCTCTTCCATTTGTTCATTAGACACACGATACAGGACAGTTTAAAATCTGGGGCAGGGTAGGACATTTAAGGACAATACACAAGCTTTTTAAATCTAGTGCAGGGTAGGACATATTAGGACAATACACCAGCTTTTTAAAACTAGGACAGGGTAGGACATTTTAGGACAATACCCAGACTTTTAAAATCTAGGACAGGGTAGGACATAAGGACAATACACAAGCTTTTTAAATCTAGTGCAGGGTAGGACATTTTAGGACAATACACCAGCTTTTTAAAACTAGGACAGGGTAGGACATTTTAGGACAATACCCAGACTTTTAAAATCTAGGACAGGGTAGGACATTTAAGGACAATACACAGGCTTTTTAAATATAGTGCAGGGTAGGACATTTTAGGACAATACACAGGCTTTTTAAATCTAGTGCAGGGTAGGACATTTTAGTACAATACACCAGCTTTTTAAAACTAGGACAGGGTAGGACATTTTAGGACAATACCCAGACTTTTAAAATCTAGGACAGGGTAGGACATTTAAGGACAATACACGAGAGTATGCGGCGAGACGACTGAAACCGACCTTATAAATGTTAGGTAAAGTCAAAGTAAGCCTTTGAAGATGTGAGGACTTGGGTGATTTGTAACAAAAGGACATTTGAGGACCTAGGGTGATTTGATACAACGTCTTTAGGATATTCTAGCTCACCGATAATTATATGTCCTATGGTCTACGTCCCATGTCATATTCTGTATGTCCAATGCTTTATGTCCTATGCTCTATGTCATATGCTCTATGTCCTATGCTGTATGTCCTATACTGTAAGTCCAATGCTCTATGTCCTATGCTCTATGTCCTATGCTCTATGTCCTATGCTGTATGTCCTATGCTTTATGTCATACACTCTATGTCCTATGCTGTATGTCCTATGCTCTATGTCCTATGCCTTATGTCCTATGCTCAATGTACTATGCTGTATGTCCTATGCTGTATGTCCTATGCTTTATGTCATACACTCTATGCCCTATGCTGTATGTCCTATGTCCTAGCCTGTATGTCCTATGATGTTTGTTCAATGCTCTATATCCATGTCCAATGCTGTATGTCCTATGCTTTATGTCATACACTATGTCCTATACTGTATATCCTATGCTCTATGTCCTATGCTGTATGTCCTATGTCCTATGCTCTATGTCCTATGCTCTATGTCCTATGCTGTATGTCATATGCCTTATGTCCTATTCTGTATGTCCTATGCCCTATGCTGTATGTCCTATGCTGATTGTCCAAGTCCAATTCTGTATGTCCTATGCTGTATATCCTATACTCTATGTCCAATGCTCTATGTCCTAAGCCCCATAAATGCAGTCAGCCACAGCAGACGGCCCTTCATTAGCTCGTGTCCAACTGTCGCCAGCAGATGCTACGTCACAAGGCCACTCACGCGCTCATTTAAATAGACCACGTGACCAGACCCCGAACTAATTTTAGATCTGACCTCGCATTAGTTTTGGTAGTGACATACTGAGGAGATTGTGGTGAGTGGTGAGTGGTAATTAACCTCGTTAACGGGATATTGTGATGACACTGTATGTGGTGTGGTGACACCGTGTGTGATGACACTGTATGTGGTGTGGTGATGCTTCTGTGTGGTGTGGTGACACCGTGTGGTGTGGTGACACTGTGTGTGGTGTGGTGACATTGTGTGTGGTGTGGTGACATTGTGTGTGGTGTGGTGACACTATGTGTGTGGTGTGGTGACACTGTGGTGTGGTGAAATGTTTGTGGTGTGGTGACATTGTGTATGGTGTGGTGACACTATGTGGTGTGGTGACACTGTGTGTGGTGTGGTGACACTGTGTGTGGTGTGATGACACTATGTGTGGTGTGGTGATACTGGTGTGTAGTGTGGTGACACTGTGTGTGGTGTGGTGACACTGTGTGGTGTGGTGACATTGTTTGTGGTGTGGTGACTGTGTGGTGAGGTGATGTTCGTGCGATGGCGGGGGGGGGGGGGGGGTAAGGGTATTTGATTTGATGAGGGGGGGGTTGCTGATGTGATATATATGACGAGATGAGGCAGCCAATCAATGTCCGCCGCTGCTGACACGTGACGGCGTAACCCGCGTGGAAGAGCCGGGTCCGGTTGAGTGGTGATTGTCCGGGTCCGGTTGAGTGGTGATTGTCCGGGTCCGGCTGAGTGGTGATTGTCCGGGTCCGGTTGAGTGGTGATTGCCGCACGAGATAAAACCCGCCATTAGCCAAACCGTTTCAACAACTTCCGGTCTCCAGCAAGGCGGCGTGGTTTTATGGGACGGTGGGGTGGGGAAAGTCTGGTGGGGTGAGGGTGTAGGTCGTCGGGTGGAGAAGAGGTTGGTGGAGAATCTATTTTAGCAAACAGAATTTGGACATTTTTAAAAATCCGGATAGGGACAGCGGGAGTTTGACTGACCACCATTACATGCAGTTTTAATGAGTGGAGGGGGGAGGTGGTCGTCAGTGACTGTGACGTCATTGGTCAACGTAAACATTGAACCAATCAGCATGCGTGTATATTATAGGATCGTGAGTTCTAAAGACTTGAACGTGGTCAGAGACTTTTCTTGATAGCAAATGAATAGGGTGAGAAAGGTAGGCTACTATCTGTGTAAAAACATTAGACGTGTTTTTGTTCTCGTTAAATACAATTTAGTTCAATGTGAGAACTGGAACCTTTAAAAAATGGAAAGCTAATTTTACTCGAAAAATGCCAATGAACCTTTTAAATTGTTTTTTTTTACTAAAAAACTCCATCGCGGATTCTTGCCTAGCCCCACTCTAGAGCTCTAGGCCAGCCATCCGTAAGTTAAGGGTTAATCTTATTTTGGACAAATACCCCGAGTGTCGGGTTTGGGAACCGTCATCACGTGGACGATGGCGCTAATGAGCAGACGATATGAGCAAACATTAACCAAGCACAGATAAGCAGCCGCCACAAATCACGTCTGCAATCACAATGGCGTAACAGCTGTCTGCGCATGCGTTGTTTACATTGTCCACGCATGACCAGAGGGCAGTGCTAGAAGCTTGCTGGAGATTTGTTGCGTGGTGTGAGCACTTGAAAAACGTCATAGCCGGGTTGGAGGTAGGTTGTTTCAAAACTTGGATTCTACTTTTTCTAAAGTAAACAAACATTGTTGTTGACATTTTTTAAAATTAATTTTTTTTATATTGCAAGATTTGAGTAATTTAATTTAAAAAAAAATACTTTTATATTGAACTAGGCCGTGTTTGTTGCTGTTAAGTGGTATAACGTGTCCCAAAGTTTAGGTTAGCCTTGTTGATTTGTTTAGCTTGCGGTTTGTTTAGTCTATGATTATGGTTTGTTTAGCTATGCAGCCATTGATATGATGCGGCAGGGTTGAGTTATGATTAATGTAGCTAAAAGTGTTGTGTAAGAACTACTACATGATGTGGGGACAGTGTGGTTAGAAAGACTTTTCTTCCCGTCTTGTGACGCTGACATTTTTTTTTAAAAATATATAAATTAGGAAATTTCACAATTTTACGTTTTGAGGATTATATATTTACCCTCTGTATATATATATATATATATATATATATATATATATATATATATATATATATATATATATATATATGTGTGTGTGTGTGTGTGTGAGAGAGAGAGAGTAAACCTAAGCCGTCACAGACGAATGACCACCAGACGTATGACCACCAGACGTATGACCACCAGACGAATGACCACCAGACGAATGACCACCAGACGTATGACCACCAGACGTATGACCACTAGACGTATGACCACCAGACGAACGAGTCCTACTCCTGCCCTATTCTAGCCCATCATTGAGCCAATATTTTCCCCGATTGCCTTTAATTCATCTAACCAGTTGCCCCACTCCTTCAGTGCTAGATGACGTAGTCAATGGTTTCCTTCCCAGCCCTGACAATGCCAGCTGGTCCAAGAGTCGAGGGGTGCCCGGGGGTGGGGTTAGCCTTCTTTTGTCCCCCTCTGTTACATAGGTCTCGGTCTGAGCGTTATGTCGCTGCTCCCCATGTAAACCTAGCGCCGCCCTGTGATTGTACTCATCAGAAAAATAAGCGCCCTAAGATTGTAATTTGTACTCATTAGAAAAATAAGCGCCCTGTGATTGTACTCATCAGAAAAATAAGCGCCCTGTGAATGTACTCATTAGAAAAATAAGCGCCCTGTGATTGTACTCATCAGAAAAATAAGCGCCCTGCGATTGTACTCATCAGAAAAATAAGCGCCCTGTGATTGTACTCATCAGAAAAATAAGCGCCCTATGATTGTACTCATCAGAAAAATAAGCGCCCTGTGATTGTACTCATCAGAAAAATAAGCGCCCTGTGATTGTACTCATCAGAAAAATAAGCGCCCTATGATTTTACTCATCAGAAAAATAAGCGCCCTATGATTTTACTCATCAGAAAAATAAGCGCCCTATGATTTTACTCATCAGAAAAATAAGCGCCCTATGATTGTATTAGTCAGGAGAAAATAGGCGCCCGCGATTCTATTTATTAATAGACAAAAATACCACCCGATAAATGTATCAATCGGAAGTAAAAAAAAAAAATTCGGTACCTCCACCACGCTACATCACTGGAAGCTCGCCCTATAAAAAACCAACCACATTTTAATGACACAAATCAGCAACTATAATTGGTCCACTTAGAAACAAATCCGAATAATTTGCTTCATTAATTCCTTGTAAAGATAGCGGACAGCGAAGTTTAAATTCTCTGATCGACTGGATCTTGTCTCATCCCTAACCAACTTGCCTCCAACCTGACGATAAACTGTCGTCTGTTTGGGCCAACCTGCCCCTAACCAACTTGCCTCCAACCTGACGATAAACTGTCGTCTGTGTGGGCCAACCTGCCCCTAACCAACTTGCCTCCAACCTGACGATAAACTCTCGTCTGTTTGGGCCAACCTGCCCCCAACCAACTTCCCACCAACCTGACGATTAACTCTCGTCTGTTTGGGCCAACCTGCCCCCAACCAACTTGCCTTCAACCTGACGATAAACTCTCGTCTGTTTGGGCCAACCTGCCCCCAACCAACTTGGGTTCAGAAGTTTTGTTACAAACTTACGCTTTGGTTCAGAAGTTGTGTTACAAACTTACGCTTTGGTTCAGAAGTTGTGTTACAAACTTGACACTTGGGTTCAGAAGTTGTGTTACAAACTTGACATTTGGGTTCAGAAATTGTGTTACAAACTTGACACTTGGGTTCAGAAGGTGTGTTACAAACTTGACACTTGGGTTCAGAAGTTGTGTTACAAACTTGACACTTGGGTTCAGAAATTGTGTTACAAACTTGACACTTGGGTTCAGAAGTTGTGTTACAAACTTGACACTTGGGTTCAGAAGTTTTGTTACAAACTTACGCTTTGGTTCAGAAGTTTTGTTACAAACTTACGCTTTGGTTCAGAAGTTGTGTTACAAACTTGACACTTGGGTTCAGAAGTTGTGTTACAAACTTGACACTTGGGTTCAGAAGTTGTGCTACAAACTTGACACTTGGGTTCAGAAGTTGTGCTACAAACTTGACACTTGGGTTCAGAAATTGTGTTACAAACTTACGCTTTGGTTCAGAAGTTGTGTTACAAACTTGACACTTGGGTTCAGAAGTTGTGTTACAAACTTGACACTTGGGTTCAGAAGTTGTGTTACAAACTTGACACTTGGGTTCAGAAGTTGTGCTACAAACTTGACACTTGGGTTCAGAAGTTGTGCTACAAACTTGACACTTGGGTTCAGAAATTGTGTTACAAACTTACGCTTTGGTTCAGAAGTTGTGTTACAAACTTGACACTTGGGTTCAGAAGTTGTGTTACAAACTTGACACTTGGGTTCAGAAGTTGTGTTACAAACTTGACACTTGGGTTCAGAAGTTGTGTTACAAACTTGACACTTGGGTTCAGAAGTTGTGTTACAAACTTGACACTTGGGTTCAGAAGTTGTGCTACAAACTTACGCTTTGGTTCAGAAGTTGTGTTACAAACTTACGCTTTGGTTCAGAAGTTGTGTTACAAACTTGACACTTGGGTTCAGAAATTGTGTTACAAACTTGACACTTGGGTTCAGAAGTTGTGTTACAAACTTGACACTTGGGTTCAGAAGTTGTGTTACAAACTTGACACTTGGGTTCAGAAGTTGTGTTACAAACTTGACACTTGGGTTCAGAAGTTGTGTTACAAACTTGACACTTGGGTTCAGAAGTTGTGTTACAAACTTGACACTTGGGTTCAGAAATTGTGTTACAAACTTGACACTTGGGTTCAGAAGTTGTGTTACAAACTTGACACTTGGGTTCAGAAGTTGTGTTACAAACTTGACACTTGGGTTCAGAAGTTTTGTTACAAACTTACGCTTTGGTTCAGAAGTTTTGTTACAAACTTACGCTTTGGTTCAGAAGTTGTGTTACAAACTTGACACTTGGGTTCAGAAGTTGTGTTACAAACTTGACACTTGGGTTCAGAAGTTGTGCTACAAACTTGACACTTGGGTTCAGAAGTTGTGCTACAAACTTGACACTTGGGTTCAGAAATTGTGTTACAAACTTACGCTTTGGTTCAGAAGTTGTGTTACAAACTTGACACTTGGGTTCAGAAGTTGTGTTACAAACTTGACACTTGGGTTCAGAAGTTGTGTTACAAACTTGACACTTGGGTTCAGAAGTTGTGCTACAAACTTACGCTTTGGTTCAGAAGTTGTGTTACAAACTTACGCTTTGGTTCAGAAGTTGTGCTACAAACTTACGCTTTGGTTCAGAAGTTGTGTTACAAACTTACGCTTTGGTTCAGAAGTTGTGTTACAAACTTACGCTTTGGTTCAGAAGTTGTGTTACAAACTTGACACTTGGGTTCAGAAGTTGTGTTACAAACTTGACACTTGGGTTCAGAAGTTGTGCTACAAACTTACGCTTTGGTTCAGAAGTTGTGTTACAAACTTGACACTTGGGTTCAGAAGTTGTGTTACAAACTTGACACTTGGGTTCAGAAGTTGTGTTACAAACTTGACACTTGGGTTCAGAAGTTGTGTTACAAACTTGACACTTGGGTTCAGAAATTGTGTTACAAACTTGACACTTGGGTTCAGAAGTTGTGCTACAAACTTGACACTTGGGTTCAGAAGTTGTGCTACAAACTTGACACTTGGGTTCAGAAATTGTGTTACAAACTTGACACTTGGGTTCAGAAATTGTGTTACAAACTTGACACTTGGGTTCAGAAGTTGTGTTACAAACTTGACACTTGGGTTCAGAAGTTGTGTTACAAACTTGACACTTGGGTTCAGAAGTTGTGTTACAAACTTGACACTTGGGTTCAGAAGTTGTGTTACAAACTTGACACTTGGGTTCAGAAGTTGTGTTACAAACTTGACACTTGGGTTCAGAAGTTGTGTTACAAACTTGACACTTGGGTTCAGAAGTTGTGTTACAAACTTGACACTTGGGTTCAGAAGTTGTGTTACAAACTTGACACTTGTGTTCAGAAGTTGTGTTACAAACTTGACACTTGGGTTCAGAAGTTGTGTTACAAACTTGACACTTGGGTTCAGAAGTTGTGTTACAAACTTGACACTTGGGTTCAGAAGTTGTGTTACAAACTTGACACTTGGGTTCAGAAGTTGTGTTACAAACTTGACACTTGTGTTCAGAAGTTGTGTTACAAACTTGACACTTGGGTTCAGAAGTTGTGTTACAAACTTGACACTTGGGTTCAGAAGTTGTGTTACAAACTTGACACTTGGGTTCAGAAGTTGTGTTACAAACTTGACACTTTGGTTCAGAAGTTGTGTTACAAACTTGACACTTGGGTTCAGAAGTTGTGTTACAAACTTGACACTTGGGTTCAGAAATTGTGTTACAAACTTGACACTTGGGTTCAGAAGTTGTGTTACAAACTTGACACTTGGGTTCAGAAGTTTTGTTACAAACTTACGCTTTGGTTCAGAAGTTTTGTTACAAACTTACGCTTTGGTTCAGAAGTTGTGTTACAAACTTGACACTTGGGTTCAGAAGTTGTGTTACAAACTTGACACTTGGGTTCAGAAGTTGTGCTACAAACTTGACACTTGGGTTCAGAAGTTGTGCTACAAACTTGACACTTGGGTTCAGAAGTTGTGTTACAAACTTGACACTTGGGTTCAGAAGTTGTGTTACAAACTTGACACTTGGGTTCAGAAGTTGTGTTACAAACTTGACACTTTGGTTCAGAAGTTGTGTTACAAACTTGACACTTGGGTTCAGAAGTTGTGTTACAAACTTGACACTTGGGTTCAGAAGTTGTGTTACAAACTTGACACTTGGGTTCAGAAGTTGTGTTACAAACTTGACACTTGGGTTCAGAAGTTGTGTTACAAACTTGACACTTGGGTTCAGAAGTTGTGCTACAAACTTACGCTTTGGTTCAGAAGTTGTGTTACAAACTTACGCTTTGGTTCAGAAGTTGTGCTACAAACTTACGCTTTGGTTCAGAAGTTGTGTTACAAACTTACGCTTTGGTTCAGAAGTTGTGTTACAAACTTGACACTTGGGTTCAGAAATTGTGTTACAAACTTACGCTTTGGTTCAGAAGTTGTGTTACAAACTTACGCTTTGGTTCAGAAGTTGTGTTACAAACTTGACACTTGGGTTCAGAAGTTGTGTTACAAACTTGACACTTGGGTTCAGAAGTTGTGTTACAAACTTGACACTTGGGTTCAGAAGTTGTGTTACAAACTTGACACTTGGGTTCAGAAGTTGTGTTACAAACTTGACACTTGTGTTCAGAAGGTGTGTTACAAACTTGACACTTGGGTTCAGAAGTTGTGTTACAAACTTGACACTTGGGTTCAGAAGTTGTGTTACAAACTTGACACTTGGGTTCAGAAGTTGTGTTACAAACTTGACACTTGGGTTCAGAAGTTGTGTTACAAACTTGACACTTGGGTTCAGAAGTTGTGTTACAAACTTGACACTTGGGTTCAGAAGTTGTGTTACAAACTTGACACTTGGGTTCAGAAGTTGTGCTACAAACTTGACACTTGGGTTCAGAAGTTGTGCTACAAACTTGACACTTGGGTTCAGAAGTTGTGTTACAAACTTGACATTTGGGTTCAGAAGTTGTGTTACAAACTTGACACTTGGGTTCAGAAATTGTGTTACAAACTTGACACTTGGGTTCAGAAGTTGTGCTACAAACTTGACACTTGGGTTCAGAAGTTGTGTTACAAACTTGACATTTGGGTTCAGAAGTTGTGTTACAAACTTGACACTTTGGTCGCTAGGGTCTGGTTGTATCCGGGGTACTTATGACTTATTCCTGACACCTCGAACCCATAAGTCGGTCAAAAGTATTTAAACAAGGAAGTTTGATATGTGTTATGGTTTCCCGTGTTTGTTTTAGTTTTTTTTTTTTTGCATCTATATTAGTAGTTGTGAATACATTTCTTTATAAAGTTGCGTTATTCTTTAGTATTATTTATTCTAATAATCAAGAGAAGAAATTGCTTTTTAATTTGCTTTATTTTTTAGTAAAAAAAAACTATTTAAATGGGCTTTATGGAAGCCCCTTTTAGACTATTTAAAGTGGAGCAATAAGTCGTGGAAGTTTGCCTAACTTTCATACTACATTCTCTAGTCGCTATCTTTAAAGCAAGGGTTGTCGTTATGGTTGGCGTAGAGTCACTGGCCAACCATTTTCTTGTACCAATATCTGGGTATGGCCAACCATTTTCTTGTACCAATATCTGGGTACGGCCAACCATTTTCTTGTACCAATATGTGGGTACGGCTAACCATTTTCTTGTACCAATATCTGGTTACGGCTAACCATTTTCTTGTACCAATATCTGGGTACGGCTAACCATTTTCTTGTACCAATGTGGCCACGGCCAACCATTTTCTTGTACCAATATCTGGGTACGGCCAACCATTTTCTTGTACCAATATGTGGGTACGGCTAACCATTTGTGTGTGCTTCCAGTTGCCGTGGGCGAGCGACCTTGAGATGCGAGCTGACCTTGAAGCATGAGCTGCTGTGGCGTGTTCAAGCTCCAGTTCTCCCTGCGGCGGTCAGAGGACGACGGCCCGGTCTTCAAGAAACAAGATGGCGACCGTTTTGAGAGCGCCATCACCGTCAAGCTCAACGCCAACACCAAGTACACCGTCTTCCTCACCAGCCGCCCCGCCCGCAGTATCAAGTGAGTACCACCTCACGGCGACCTTTTGTCGGAACCATTTTTTTTCTTGGCTTTTTTTTTTCTAAACTTGTTTCTGTTGACTTTTAAAAATTAAAATGAATTAACTTTAAATGTTACGTTTCTCCGATGTTAATACAACCATCTTAAGAGTTCAAGTGTGTTGCGTGTTGTGAACAAATCAAGTTCCGGTTGTCCACAGAAAGGTTTTTCTAAAAGCCGAGAAGCTGGAGATCAACCAACAAAGACCAGAGAGAGCAGACGACAACTGTAACGTGTACCACGCTGATTGGTCCACCATCGGCTTTGACGTCAACAAGAGTAACGTCAGGACGTATCTGCCCATAGTCATAGAGGTGTGTCGTGTTATAGGTGTGTCGTCTAGTGTTGGAGGTGTGTCGTGTTATAGGTGTGTCATGTTATAGGTGTGTCGTCTAGTGTTGGAGGTGTGTCGTGTTATAGGTGTGTCGTCTAGTGTTGGAGGTGTGTCGTGTTATAGGTGTGTCGTGTTATAGGTGTGTCGTCTAGTGTTATAGGTGTGTCGTCTAGTGTTGGAGGTGTGTCGTGTTATAGGTGTGTCGTGTTATAGGTGTGTCGTCTAGTGTTATAGGTGTGTCGTCTAGTGTTGGAGGTGTGTCATGTTATAGGTGTGTCGTCTGGCGTTGGAGGTGTGTTGTGTTATAGGTGTGTCGTGTTGTGTTATAGGTGTGTCGTGTAGTGTTGAAGGTGTGTCGTGTAATGTTATAGGTGTGTCGTCTGGTGTTATAGGTGTGTCGTGTTATAGGTGTGTCGTCTGGTGTTATAGGTGTGTCGTGTTATAGGTGTGTCGTCTGGTGTTATAGGTGTGTCGTGTTATAGGTGTGTCGTCTGGTGTTGGAGGTGTGTCGTCCGGTGTTGGGGGTTTTGTCGTCCGGTGTTGGGGGTGTGTCGTGTAATGTTATAGATGTGTCGTCTGGTGTTGGGGTTGTGTTGTCTAATGGGCTGGGGATGTTATGTGAAGATTTTCTCTACATATAGACCACATTGTTTACTTGTTTGATGTAGCGATATTGTCACATGCTTTAAGCATTTCACTCACAGCGGCCCTATCCGCCCCCCCCCCCCCCTAAGTAAAGGCCAGACACAATCCACTACACTAACCATTACCTTAACCAACTCACCCTAAACCTTACCCCCCCCCCTAAGTAAAGGCCAGACACAATCCACTACACTAACCATTACCTTAACCAGCTCACCCTAAACTTTACCCCCTCCCTAGATCGCGATGTTTGTCTACCAGTAGCTTTGGGTCAAGAGGGTGGGAGGGGTGAGGGGGCTGGTCACGTGTCTCCCGGGACGAAATCCGGCTCCTAACAGGAAATTAAAAAAAGATGGGAGATACTGGACCGAGCCTTCAACACCCCCCCCCCCCCCCCCGACAGCTTCCCAACGCATGGATATTGTATTTCTTTCTTACATCGGGTTTGTTAGTAAGAACAAAGGGAAACAACTTCAGAAAGAAAAACGTTTTATCTAATCCACACATTTTTTTTTATTGTTGTGAGTTGTTCCCCTTTCTACCCTGTCGTTACCCCCTTTTTTCCAAGAAGTTGCCATCTCTGCCCATTTGTTGCCCTATAAAAATGTGTTACCCTTTCTGCCCAGTTGTTAACCTCTCTGTCCAGTAGCTGCCCTTTCTGCCCAGTAGCTGCCCTTTCTGCCCAGTAGTCGCTGAAACCTGGCCAGCATTGATCGATTCCAAATTAACTTGTAATTTTCCCTCGTCTTGACCAGCTTTTGAGCAGACGTACACATTAATCGATGGCTGCCATCGATTTGTTCAAGAGAATCGTTAATTGATGACGTCATGGGCACTAGGGCCTAGGACGGTTTTTTAAACTCAGGATACTTGAAAGAAAAATCAAGCAAACCTAGTGTTTGCCACTCGATACCGTGTCGCGATACCTGGGGCATACTGTATCGATACTTTTTTGTAATCAAATCCGATTCCTGCTTTATTCGGTTGTTAATGTCAGATTGATTCATTGGCTTCGTTTTAAAGCTGGCGTGTGTGTGCGTGTGATGGAGGGAGGGGGGGCAATTATTTTTTATAATGTCAGTAACATTGGCGATGCAATCAACAGTATTATATTTAAAATAACCAAGACATGTTAATACCAAAGTAAAAAATAATTGACTAACTCCGCCTACCATTGAAAGTATGTGCCTACCATTGAGAGCATCTACGCCTACCATTGAGAGTATGGGCCTACCATTGAGAGTATATGGCGACCATTTCGGCCTATGTATTCCTATCTTTTATCCTGCTACATAGCGTCCTAACATCACACTGTGTGTATGTGTGCGCTGAGTGCGTTAAGATTAAGCTCAGGATGACAGTGAGCTCAACACAAGGGCCCTGTACTCCCACTTGTCCGGGCGGGCCAACAGATATTCTGTCCGTCAAGGGGAGGCGACTCACGGGGAGGTAACGGTGAGAGGGGAGACAATAGAACAAATTAGATTCGATCAACGCTACTGGAAAAGGACATTATTCCTCGTCATCCCCTTCCCCCCTCAACAGTACCACCAAGTATATTCCCACCCCCACCCATTTCACAAAAACTAAAGTAGGACACCCCCTCGCCCCCCCCCCCCCAAAAAAAAAAAATCACTGTCTCCGTGTCTAGTCATGGACAAGAATCCCATTGATCATTCGGATTCTGGTGGATGTTTTTTTTTTAAATATTTAATATACATTATTTAGACGGGGTCGTTACCGCGGGAAGGGGGGGTGGGAAGTGTTACTGAGTTAATGAATCTTTCGGTAATGGTGGGGGAAGGGACTGGTCAGGTGTAATGTCCTTGTCCCCCACATCACTTGGTCAACATTTGTACACTGTCAGTCGTGTCAGTCCTCCTTTGGTGTCTGCAGGGGAAAAACCAAAACTGATGACGCCGCTATGACAGTCCTATATTGCTGACTCCACTCATGACAGTCCTATATTGCTGACTCCACTCATGACAGTCCTATATTGCTGACTCCACTCATGACAGTCCTATATTGCTGACTCCACTCATGACAGTCCTATATTGCTGACTCCACTCATGACAGTCATATATTGCTGACTCCACTCATGACAGTCCTATATTGCTGACTCCACTTATGACAGTCCTATATTGCTGACTCCACTCATGACAGTCCTATATTGCTGACTCCACTCATGACAGTCCCATATTGCTGACTCCACTCATGACAGTCCCATATTGCTGACTCCACTCATGACAGTCCTATATTGCTGACTCCACTTATGACAGTCCTATAGTGCTGACTCGACTATGACTCCACTAGCCGGACGAGCCCTACATCACATATCGTCCAGATTTTGGCAAAATTAATTACATCCAGTATGTAATTAACATTCTTTATTCTGTCCGCCCACTGATTAATTTTACAAACACGTGCGAAGCTAATGAATAATTGTTGCACGTGAAGTTGACGCTGCCGGTTAAAATAACTCATCATCCCTCACATCCCGATTCTATCCCTAACATCCTTGACTCATGATGCCGCTATCCTTATTGAGCTATCCTTAATTTTTTCTTCTTCAATATCACCGTTCATTTTTTTTATTCCCAACACTATCCCTATAACCCTCCCCTATCCTAAAAAAAACCCCTCTATCCTTAGCGCCACACCCCTCTATATCTCTAACCCTACGAACTTCATTTCCGCTGCTCCCCCCCGCCCCCTCCCCATTGATTTTTCATTGAGCGAGATTGACGTCACGGCGGGAGAAGGGAGATAACGTGGCTTGTAACTGGACAAGGGAGATAAAAGAATTATGATGCTATGGGCTAGGAATGCAAATCACTTGGACTCAGTTTTTGGCAAGAGCTCACTTTTTTCCCAACAACGGTAGCGATGCTCTGGCCGTCCCAGGGATGCTGGTACAGTGAGTTTCATCCCTGCTGCCTGCACGTGGGACAGTCTTGACCCCCCTGCTATGCTGTCATGAGACAGTGTTGACCCCTCCTACTATGCTGTCATGAGACAGTCTTGACCCCTCCTGCTATGTTGTCATGAGACAGTGTTGACCCCTCCTGCTATGCTGTCATGAGACAGTCTTGACCCCCCTGCTATGCTGTCATGAGACAGTCTTGACCCCCCTGCTATGCTGTCATGAGACAGTCTTGACCCCCCTGCTATGCTGTCATGAGACAGTGTTGACCCCTCCTGCTATGTTGTCATGAGACAGTGTTGACCGATGACAGGAGTTATCTACAAATGGTCACCTTCCTCTGGCCAACCACACTTAAAATGGCCACCTCTCTCTGGCCAACCACACTTAAAATGGCCACCTTCCTTAGACAAACCAAATTGTTTTACCTGGGTCCATTGGGTCAGCTACCCTGATTGGGTTGACCCCCTAAAAGAGTGGGGTCATCCCACTTACCCCCCCCCCCCCCCGGGTCACCTAACCAAGCCGGACAATGCAATGTGTTATGCCGGATGAGCGTCACTGTTCGCTTGTGGTGAATCGATAGACTAGGGCTGAGGACACCTTTTTGTTGGCTAGTGCTGGAGCTAGATCTAGTACAAGCACGCAGACTTTCTTTACAATCTATACTTAGTTCAGAATTTGTTTACAGTTGGTTGTCCAATCTATACTTAGCTCAGAATTTGTTTACAGTTTGTTGTCCAATCTATAATTAGCTCAGAATTTGCATCTACATACACTATTAAGTAATTACCGTTAACAGGTTAATTTTTTTTTACTAGATGGACAGTGGCCTACGAGTGGAAACGAAACTGCAAGTGAAAGTATATCCGGAAACGGAAACGACGCACTGCAAGTGGGGTGATGAACTTCACATGCTCGACCTTGAATGCGCGGTGAAGGCCGACAAGACGGCGGTCGAGATCAGGAAAGTGCAGTACATCTAGCTGTTCAGCTGCTCGGAGTGCAGTACATCTAGCTGTTCAGCTGCTCGGAGTGCAGTACATCTAGCTGTTCAGCTGCTCGGAGTGCAGTACATCTAGCTGTTCAGCTACTCGGAGTGCAGTACATCTAGCTGTTCAGCTGCTCGGAGTGCTGTACATCTAGCTGTTCAGCTGCTCGGAGTGCAGTACATCTAGTTGTTCAGCTACTCGGAGTGCAGTACATCTAGCTGTTCAGCTGTTCGGAGTGCTGTACATCTAAGCTGTTCAGCTGCTCGGAGTGCCGTACATCTAGCTGTTCAGCTGCTCGGAGATCTTGAAAACTTTTTGTAGTATTTCAGTTTAGCCATACCCTCCCTATTCTAGAACTATACCGCTGGTGGCGATACTTCAATACTAAACCCTAGTCATGCAACAGTATAAATCTGATCCAAATGATCTCAACGCCACCGGCCACAACACCTTAATACGCTACATTACATGGCCGGCTAATACCGCAGTACAAAATATGAGGGTATGGCTAATCGATGAGAACATTCCCATCAACATATAAATTGCTTGCTTGTGTGGAGTGACAAAAGACGATATGATTGGCTCACCACTGAGGCGGCTCAAGCTTCCAACTGTCACGGATGGCGCATGGGGCTACTGGTGCAAGGTGGGCAGACGACAGGCCTAATGCATTCGTGACGTCAGCATAGTGGGGGCTCTCAGCCCCACACATACCATGGGCAGTGTGGGGGCTCTCAGCCCCACACATACCATGGGCAGAGTGGAGGGCATACCATGGGCATTGTGGGGGCTCTCAGCCCCACACATACCATGGGCAGTGTGGGGGCTCTCAGCGCCACACATACCATGGGCAGTGTGGGGGCTCTCAGCCCCACACATACCATGGGCAGAGTGGGGGCTCTCAGCCCCACACATACCATGGGCAGTGTGGGGGCTCTCAGCCCCACACATACCATGGGCAGAGTGGGGGCTCTCAGCCCCACACATACCATGGGCAGTGTGGGGGCTCTCAGCCCCACACATACCATGGGCAGTGTGGGGGCTCTCAGCCCCACACATACCATGGGCAGAGTGGGGGCTCTCAGCCCCACACATACCATGGGCAGTGTGGGGGCTCTCAGCCCCACACATACCATGGGCAGTGTGGGGGCTCTCAGCCCCACACATATCATAGTTTTGTAGCAGTTATTTCCACACAATATGGGTTGTGTGTGTGGAGGGGGGAGGTAACTAGTCTCAGATAAAAAAAGGTTTGTGTTACTAGAAATACTAGAAAACGTGTGTAATAAAACTGAAATAGATAATTGTGATGTTATGAGAGAATTTTAAAACAAAAATTATTTTGGCTCAATTATGAAACAGGCGAAATTAAGGTATTTGTCCAACAATTTGCGAAGAATAGAACACAAAATCCTCCCCCCCCCCCCTCTTTGCCCCCACACACACTTGCATTCTTTTTGAAGTAAATAATTTGAAATTTTAAAAATCCATTATGTTTATATTTTACAAGTGTATATTTTATAAATGCCAAAAGATGACCCAACCAAAAGATGTCATAAATGTCATAGCTCAAACTGTGATGCCACGGGGAATTACTCTACATATATTCTATTTATATCTTGTAATAAGGGAAATTACTGGTGGCGTGAGAATGAAAGGGTGGGGATGACGTCATGTGCTGTGAGTTGTTTTATCTATAAGTATTAAGTGTGATCTGATAGTGAAGGGTTTTTTGTTTACTTTGGTGAGCACTAACTAGTTCTTTTTTTTTTAGCAATTAGCATAATATATGTGTCCGTGTTCTTAGTGGTCAATAAGAAATGTTTGATGTACCAAGCTAAATTTAGATGATGGTAGATTTTAACAATGTCTGTGTGTTGTTGTAATTACACTTTTGGGAAATGAAACAGAAACCATGTATTAATGTTGTAGTGTTAGATTGCGTGTGTATGTATTCTACCCATTAATATGCTAGATTTTTTTAAATTTTAAAGTAAAATGTATACAACTTTGCTGATGTATGTTATTTATAATTTAACTATTTTATTTTGATCATTTTAAAATATGAGATACATATGAATTATTCTTGATATTTTGGCAATATTTTTCCATATATTTCCCCCCTCTTTAGCATTGATGGACTTATACATTCAATGATTCTTGGTGTCTTCGGTGTAAATATGCAGCATTTTATTTTAACCTGATATTTTATGCAAAATCTGGCCACTATCGGGCTAGACAATGCCGGCTTGCACTATGTAAATGTGTTGCAATATTGGATAGCAATAAAGCTTAAAACTGTTTCTGCTATTGGTCTGGTGTTCATGTTATACATTTGTTGATCTATTTTTAAATTGTCAACTCAAGATTGAATTGTACTGAAGAAAGAGATAAGGACAAAGAAAAACAAACTGGGTAGAAAAAGGAACAGTGGCCCTGTCTTAAAGTAGCCCTGTCCTAGAGTGGCCCTGTCCTAGAGTAGCCCTGTCCTACAGTAGCCCTGTCCTACAGCTACAGTAGCCCTGTCCTACAGTAGCCCTGTCCTACAGTGGCCCTGTCCTACAGTGGCCCTGTCCTACAGTAGCCCTGTCCTACAGTAGCCCTGTCCTAGAGTGGCCCTGTCCTACAGTAGCCCTGTCCTACAGCTACAGTAGCCCTGTCCTAGAGTGGCCCTGTCCTACAGTGGCCCTGTCCTACAGTAGCCCTGTCCTACAGTAGCCCTGTCCTACAGTAGTCCTGTCCTACAGTAGCCCTGTCCTACAGCTACAGTAGCCCTGTCCTACAGTAGCCCTGTCCTACAGTAGCCCTGTCCTACAGTAGCCCTGTCCTACAGTAGCCCTGTCCTACAGTAGCCCTGTCCTACAGTAGCCCTGTCCTACAGTAGCCCTGTCCTACAGTAGCCCTGTCCTACAGCTACAGTAGCCCTGTCCTAGAGTGGCCCTGTCCTACAGTGGCCCTGTCCTACAGTAGCCCTGTCCTACAGTAGCCCTGTCCTACAGTAGTCCTGTCCTACAGTAGCCCTGTCCTACAGCTACAGTAGCCCTGTCCTACAGTAGCCCTGTCCTACAGTAGCCCTGTCCTACAGTGGCCCTGTCCTACAGCTACAGTAGCCCTGTCCTACAGTAGCCCTGTCCTACAGTAGCCCTGTCCTACAGTAGCCCTGTCCTACAGTAGTCCTGTCCTACAGTAGCCCTGTCCTACAGCTACAGTAGCCCTGTCCTACAGTAGCCCTGTCCTACAGTAGCCCTGTCCTACAGTGGCCCTGTCCTACAGCTACAGTAGCCCTGTCCTACAGTAGCCCTGTCCTACAGTAGCCCTGTCCTACAGTAGCCCTGTCCTACAGTAGCCCTGTCCTACAGTAGCCCTGTCCTACAGTAGCCCTGTCCTACAGTAGCCCTGTCCTACAGTAGCCCTGTCCTACAGCTACAGTAGCCCTGTCCTACAGTAGCCCTGTCCTACAGTAGCCCTGTCCTACAGTAGCCCTGTCCTACAGTAGCCCTGTCCTACAGCTACAGTAGCCCTGTCCTACAGTAGCCCTGTCCTACAGTAGCCCTGTCCTACAGTGGCCCTGTCCTACAGTAGCCCTGTCCAACAGTAGCCCTGTCCTACAGTGGCCCTGTCCTACAGCTACAGTAGCCCTGTCCTACAGTAGCCCTGTCCTACAGTAGCCCTGTCCTACAGTAGCCCTGTCCTACAGTAGTCCTGTCCTACAGTAGCCCTGTCCTACAGCTACAGTAGCCCTGTCCTACAGTAGCCCTGTCCTACAGTAGCCCTGTCCTACAGTGGCCCTGTCCTACAGCTACAGTAGCCCTGTCCTACAGTAGCCCTGTCCTACAGTAGCCCTGTCCTACAGTAGCCCTGTCCTACAGTAGCCCTGTCCTACAGTAGCCCTGTCCTACAGTAGCCCTGTCCTACAGTAGCCCTGTCCTACAGTAGCCCTGTCCTACAGCTACAGTAGCCCTGTCCTACAGTAGCCCTGTCCTACAGTAGCCCTGTCCTACAGTGGCCCTGTCCTACAGTAGCCCTGTCCAACAGTAGCCCTGTCCTACAGTAGCCCTGTCCTAGAGTGGCCCTGTCCTACAGTAGCCCTGTCCTACAGCTACAGTGGCCCTGTCCTACAGTAGCCCTGTCCTACAGTAGCCCTGTCCTACAGTAGCCCTGTCCTACAGTAGCCCTGTCCTACAGTAGCCCTGTCCTACAGTGGCCCTGTCCTACAGTAGCCCTGTCCTACAGTAGTCCTGTCCTACAGTGGCCCTGTCCTACAGTAGCCCTGTCCAACAGTAGCCCTGTCCTACAGTAGCCCTGTCCTACAGTAGCCCTGTCCTAGAGTAGCCCTGTCCAACAGTAGCCCTGTCTTAAGTAGCCCTGTCCTACAGTGGCCCTGTCCTACAGTAGCCCTGTCCTACAGTAGCCCTGTCCTACAGTAGCCCTGTCCTACAGTAGCCCTGTCCTACAGTAGCCCTGTCCTACAGTGGCCCTGTCCTACAGTGGCCCTGTCCTACAGTAGCCCTGTCCTACAGTAGCCCTGTCCTAGAGTGGCCCTGTCCTACAATGGCCCTGTCCTACAGTAGCCCTGTCCTACAGTAGCCCTGTCCTAGAGTGGCCCTGTCCTACAGTGGCCCTGTCCTACAGTAGCCCTGTCCTACAGTAGCCCTGTCCTAGAGTGGCCCTGTCCTACAGTAGCCCTGTCCTACAGTAGCCCTGTCCTACAGTAGCCCTGTCCTACAGTAGCCCTGTCCTAGAGTGGCCCTGTCCTACAGTGGCCCTGTCCTACAGTAGCCCTGTCCTACAGTAGCCCTGTCCTACAGTAGCCCTGTCCTACAGTAGTCCTGTCCTACATTGGCCCTGTCCTACAGTGGCCCTGCCCTACAGTAGCCCTGTCCTAGAGTGGCCCTGTCCTACAGTGGCCCTGTCCTACAGTAGCCCTGTCCTACAGTAGCCCTGTCCTAGAGTGGCCCTGTCCTACAGTAGCCCTGTCCTACAGTAGCCCTGTCCTACAGTAGCCCTGTCCTACAGTAGCCCTGTCCTACAGTAGCCCTGTCCTACAGTAGCCCTGTCCTACAGTGGCCCTGTCCTACAGTAGCCCTGTCCTAGAGTGGCCCTGTCCTACAGTGGCCCTGTCCTACAGTAGCCCTGTCCTACAGTAGCCCTGTCCTACAGTAGCCCTGTCCTACAGTAGCCCTGTCCTACAGTAGCCCTGTCCTACAGTAGCCCTGTCCTACAGTGGCCCTGTCCTACAGTAGCCCTGTCCTAGAGTGGCCCTGTCCTACAGTGGCCCTGTCCTACAGTAGCCCTGTCCTACAGTAGCCCTGTCCTACAGTAGCCCTGTCCTACAGTAGCCCTGTCCTACATTGGCCCTGTCCTACAGTGGCCCTGCCCTACAGTAGCCCTGTCCTACAGTAGCCCTGTCTTACAGTAGTCCTGTCCTACAGTGGCCCTGTCCTACAGTAGCCCTGTCCTACAGTAGCCCTGTCCTACAGTAGCCCTGTCCTACAGTAGCCCTGTCCTACAGTAGCCCTGTCCTACAGTAGCCCTGTCTTAAAGTAGCCCTGTCCTAGAGTGGCCCTGTCCTACAGTAGCCCTGTCCTACAGTAGCCCTGTCCTAGAGTGGCCCTGTCCTACAGTAGCCCTGTCCTACAGTAGCCCTGTCCTACAGCTACAGTAGCCCTGTCCTACAGTAGCCCTGTCCTACAGTAGCCCTGTCCTACAGTAGCCCTGTCCTACAGTAGCCCTGTCCTACAGTAGCCCTGTCATAGTCGCCCTGTCCTACAGTAGCCCTGTCTTACAGTAGCCCTGTCCTAGAGTGGCCCTGTCCTACAGTAGCCCTGTCCTACAGTAGCCCTGTCCTACAGTAGCCCTGTCCTACAGTAGCCCTGTCCTACAGTAGCCCTGTCTTAAAGTAGCCCTGTCCTAGAGTGGCCCTGTCCTACAGTAGCCCTGTCCTAGAGTGGCCCTGTCCTACAGTAGCCCTGTCCTACAGTAGCCCTGTCCTACAGTAGCCCTGTCCTACAGTAGCCCTGTCCTAGAGTGGCCCTGTCCTACAGTAGCCCTGTCCTACAGTGGCCCTGTCCTACAGTAGCCCTGTCCTACAGTAGCCCTGTCCTACAGTAGCCCTGTCCTACAGTAGCCCTGTCCTAGAGTGGCCCTGTCCTACAGTAGCTCTGTCCTTCCCATAAAACAGTTGCCATCTGGAGAAATGTTCACCCTCTCTAGTGCCTTACACTTTCGCATGTCACTTGGGACATGTCATATAGGACATTTCTGAATTAAGTCTAAATAAAGACTAATGCAAATAAGTATAGATGATACATTTGAAATACAACTGTTTATAACAAATTAAATGGACCCATATGTAATAGGACTGTCAAAACAAATCAAATTTTATTTTTCTTTATAGTCAGGGTTCTCTGGACACAAAAATAGAGCTACTTGAACAAGGTACATAGAAATACATTATTTCTTCACAATCACATGCATTATTATATGTTATTTGTGCACAATAAATACGCTGACATCAGACAACCAAACCCCTCTAACACCACACACATAAACCCCACACACCCAAGCCTCTCTAACACTAACACACCCAAGCCCTACACACCCAAACCCCACTGACACCACGCACCCAAGCCCACCAATACCACACACCCAAGCTCCACTAACACCACACACCCAAACCACACTGACACCACACACCCAAACCCCACTGACACCACACACCAAAGCCCACCTGACACCACACACCCAAGCCCACCAATACCACACACCCAAGCCCCTCTAACACCACACACCCAAGCCCACCCAACACCACACACCCAAGCCCACCCAACACCACACACCCAAGCCCCACTAACACCACACACCCAAGCCCACCCAACACCACACACCCAAGCCCACCCAACACCACACACCCAAGCCCCACTAACACCACACACCCAAGCCCCTCTAACACCACACACCCAAGCCCACCCAAAACCACACACAACCAAACCCCACTGACACCACACACACAAACCCCACTGACACCACACACCCAAACCCCACTGACACCACACACCCAAGCCCCACTAACACCACACACCCAAGCCCCACTAACACCACACACCCAAACCCCACTGACACCACACACCCAAGCCCCTCTAACACCACACACCAAAACCACACACAACCAAACCCCACTAACCCCACACACCCAAACCCCACTGACACCACACACCCAAGCCCACCCAACACCACACACCCAAACCCCACTGACACCACACAACCAAGCCCACCCAACACCACACACCCAAGCCCCACTAACACCACACACCCAAACCCCACTGACACCACACACCCAAGCCCACCCAACACCACACACCCAAGCCCCACTAACACCACACAACCAAGCCCACCCAACACCACACACCCAAACCCCACTGACACCACACAACCAAGCCCACCCAACACCACACACCCAAGCCCCACTAACACCACACACCCAAGCCCACCCAACACCACACACCCAAGCCCCTCTAACACCACACACCCAAACCCCACACAACCAAGCCCCACTAACACCACACACCCAAACCCCACTGACACCACACACCCAAGCCCCACTAACACCACACAACCAAGCCCACCTGACACCACACACCCAAGCCCATTGACATGTTAGAGCCCCCACTACATCTCACACCTACAACCCACACCTAAAGCATCACCGCAATCAATTAAAGAAGGCTGACCATAAAATAACACAAGGCACATTTGGTTCATTGACACGCCTACATCTCCCACATTTGACCACCTAGTTTTGATTTACTGCTTGCTACAGCACTATGGTGCTGTTTTCTTTAGTCAAGAGCAGAACAAGTACAAATAGAAAACAATTCTTGAAAAACAAAATGTGGTTAGTATAGTCATGTATATGTTTGATCATGTGCTCATTTTGTTTTTGATTCGATGCTGAACATTCAAATAAAATGCTCAAGTTAAAACATGGCAAATAAATTTTAAAAATTCTAAAGGAAGCTCTTTTTAACCCTTTTACGGACACCATACCTTGCACAGAATTTTGAACCAGTAGCTGAGCAAAATGTGCCACAACAAAGGTCCCACTCCTAAAAGCACAATGTCTAAACAAAAATCAACTAGCTCTTCATTTTTTTCTGAGAAATAAAAAGTGCAAACTACATGGCTCCTCTCATCCCCCTCCCTACTGGCAAAGGTCAAAGCAGTCAAATAAGGACAGCATGTGTTCTACCATCTTAGGTACAATAACAGATTAGGGTTGATAGTGACACATTTGGAGACACCTGCAGATCTCATTAAATAATTCTGGCCAGTTGGTAACACAAGGTACGTTTGTATACTTGACACAAACTTCCTCTACTCAAATAACATCATCACTTAACTCTGACTTACTGCTAAAAAATATAATTGGTTGGGGTCCTTTTTTAACAGTCAAATGCTGAATACGCACAATTTTGAAAATTCTTAGCCACATTTTTATAAAACTGAGTTTGTGTGATGATATATTAAATGAATGGATGAATGAATACATTTTACAATTGCTTCTTTACAGACATAATAATTAGGATGATTGGGCCCCTATAAAATATATCACAAGTTCCATAAATACAAATAATTTAATTAATGTTTATCTCCCTTAAAATTGTCTCCCCTGTGGCCTGATAAGTTTCTCTTGAGCAGCTTTATAAACTGGTTTTAAGTCACCAAGTGGTGGCCAGGATCTCTGAAACAATAAAGTCATTTCAAACATCCCATCTCAACTCCTGGTGAGGCAGCCAATAACACATTGGCTAGGCTAAAACATGATAAAACAAAATAAGAAACAGGAACTTACAGAAAACAATGGATGGAGTGCTTGGCCTTGATCTTGTTTTAATAACACCAGGAGGTAGTGTAGGATGGAGTGCTGGGGGTAAAATAATAACATGAGGTAGTGTAGGATGGAGTGCTGGGGGTAAAATAATAACATGAGGTAGTGTAGGATGGAGTGCTGGGGGTAAAATAATAACATGAGGTAGTGTAGGATGGAGTGCTGGGGGTAAAATAATAACATGAGGTCCCTGACAGCAACACAAGACTGCATTTAAAGCCTAATTTCAACACTTAATAAGAAGCAACTACTGAAAACTACTACACCAGTTTCAAAACTTGTGAAATAAGCTGTACATTAGATTAATTTTAATGATCTAAAAATCTAATGTATTTAAAAGAATTTCAACAGCTGTATTTAAAAACTTTAACTCCAAAAGATTAAACTATTCAGTTTTATAAAAAAGCAATTGAATGTTTGCGTGAGAAGTCACAATATATAAATTACCTACCATTGATATAGCTTCATTGATGACAACATCCTTGATATGAGAAACATGAAAAAAGTTGGTTTCCCTGTGACCCAGATAATACAGGGTCTCTACCTGCAGGCCTAGTGATGGGAGGATCACAACATTTTCTGGGGGGAAATACATTACATAGTAGTTAGTAGGTAGGATACAATTTTATACTCATTTGCTACACAACAATCTGCTAGGATTGACACAATTATTTAGTTATCAATTCATTGTGCCACTACTATAAAGGCTAATTTGAACTAACATATCCTCACACTACAGCACATACATACCAGAATGTATTTTTGAATACAATTTGAGAACCAGTGTTGTTGCCAGAGCCAAACACAGAGAGGCTAAAATATTTCTATCCTAGAAGAAAAAAAAAGGCTTAAGAATTTCTATCCATGTAAAAATACAGATATACATCTCTAAGTAGGTGTCTTAGATAAATAATGACTCACAAAAGTTTAAAAATAGCCAGATCACTGATTTAAAAAACTAAAATTTTAAAAACAAATAAAATTGAAATTCTAAAATAAAGACAAAAATACTTGTCAAACACTGAAAAAGTTTTCCTCATAAAAACTTACAAGCATGTGTAATCTAAATGAGAAGGCTAGGATGAGAGTGATGACCAAGAGAATGGTAAAGAGAATTCTGCTCTTCAGTGGAGGGTGAACAACTGTAAACTCACTGCCCATATCACCATGGTCGCGATGGTACATCCTCAACACCATCTTCTGATACACTCTATACAAGATTACATCAAAACATCCTCAACACCATCTTCTGTTACACTCTATACAAGATGACATCAAAACATCATCAACACCATCTTCTGTTACACTCTATACAAGATGACATCAAAACATCCTCAACACCATCTTCTGATACACTCTATACAAGATGACATCAAAACATCATCAACACCATCTTCTGTTACACTCTATACAAGATGACATCAAAACATCCTCAACACCATCTTCTGATACACTCTATACAAGATTACATCAAAACATCCTCAACACCATCTTCTGATACACTCTATACAAGATGACATCAAAACATCCTCAACACCATCTTCTGTTACACTCTATACAAGATTACATCAAAACATCCTCAACACCATCTTCTGTTACACTCTATACAAGATGACATCAAAACATCCTCAACACCATCTTCTGTTACACTCTATACAAGATGACATCAAAACATCCTCAACACCATCTTCTGATACACTCTATACAAGATTACATCAAAACATCCTCAACACCATCTTCTGATACACTCTATACAAGATTACATCAAAACATCCTCAACACCATCTTCTGTTACACTCTATACAAGATGACATCAAAACATCCTCAACACCATCTTCTGTTACACTCTATACAAGATGACATCAAAACATCCTCAACACCATCTTCTGATACACTCTATACAAGATTACATCAAAACATCCTCAACACCATCTTCTGTTACACTCTATACAAGATGACATCAAAACATCCTCAACACCATCTTCTGTTACAATCTATACAAGATGACATCAAAAAATCTCGCGCTATAAGTTTATAAAAATAAAACTTAAACAAGATGGCTGCAATAGTAAATGAGCATGGTTGCATCTGTTGGAAACATCGCTAGTCTTCATTTATTACTGAAAAGTTTTAATTCAATTGTTTAAAAACAGGTAGATCTAGATCTCTACTTAAACTTAAATGAAACAAGGGCTAGGGTATTTTAAAAAACATAAATCCTCCTCAAAATGTGAAATAATTTTTAAAATTTAAGGAGCCACCTGTTTTTCACATTACAAGTCGCGGGCGATTTTACGTACCTAAAACGATAGATTACCTAAATAAATTACAAATTACTTTGAAATTACCGGAGTCTTATTCCAAGTGATCAGTAGCTCAGTAGTACTAAAAATAGTTTAATCATGATCTTAATGGGGGAAAAAAGCAATACCTTTCTCAGTAAACTTTAGTAGTTAGATCTAGATCTCTAGTTAAGTTAGTGCTAGATCTAGTTAGTATTTCACTGTCAACTTGAAACTTTCAAGACTTTCATTCAAATTCAATCAAGCAAGTTGAACAGTGAACTTTTCACTCACTCTCTCACTCACTATGATAGATCTAGTATTCATATTTTAAAGAAGATGGGCTCATTTTTACTTTAATTAAATTTTAAATTACAGTGTAGAAGTTGGAGTCTAGAAGCAGACATTGCCAAAATAATAGATCGCAGCTCTAAATTTAGTTTTAGATCTAGACTAGATCTAGATTTCTACATCTGGATTCTAGGTCCTAGTTTACTAAGTCTGCTAGCCTTGCTTTGAACTCCAACGAGTAAATGTTTTAGTGCTGTCCCTTGGTTCTAGTTTCATAAAAATTGTTCTATCTGCTGTAAAAGGCTTAAAAAACGAAACAAATAAATTAAATGCTGTGTTTATTTTAAATATAAAAATGTTGATAGCTGAGTGATAGTGATTGGGTGTTAGCAGTTGTACTGGCAGGTTGCTATCTTTAGATCTTCTCAATGATTTTTTGCACAGCCACCTTTACTCTCCCCTATCAGAGTTGGGTCAACTCAGGGATGTGCTGTAACTCTTTAACGTACGGGTTAACGGTATTTTTAGTTATTTAAATAGTTCTCGTACTACTATAGTTCATTGTTATACTTTAAATTGAAATAATCTATTTTCTCACTTTTTTGCATCATTACATAAAAGCCTGTTATTAAAACGTTTTTATGCATTTTTTTTTTTAAAATTGAAGTTCTTTACAGTTTACAGTGCTTTGGGGGCCATCCGTAAATGACGCAACGCTTTTTTTCCTCCCCCCCCCCCGTCACAAAAAGCCAGATCCCCCCCCCCTCTAAAATGATGTCACACATCAGCCTACTCTCTCAACAGAGTATTTTAATCAATTCCTATTACAATTTATTAAAACAGTTTTCTAAAACGCGAAATAACGGCTAAAATTCGTTTATTTTCTAGCACTGCTTTTTTATTATGCAAAAGTGTGACGTCACACCATCTGAACACCCCCCCCCTCCCTAACCACACAGTCACTAACTTACGACCCCCCCCCCCCGCTACGAGTGTGACGTCATTTATGGACGACCCCTTAGTCTTTGTAGGCCTACTTACCTCATCCGTCATGTGGACACCTGTCAATGAAAATTAAATATGACCTGGGAGAGGGGGGGGGGGGAACTAACATAGCGCCAGACCCCCCATGAAATTTAGCATTAATTTTAATGGTATTACACCATAACAAATTTGGAAGATTCAAAAAAATATTTCTAGAGTGTTTTCTGTAACAAAAGCTAGCCAGCTGACTGTAAGAGTTAGTAAAAGAAGGATCAATGATTGTATGATCACTGTATTGGTTGAGACCTCCAGACGTTTTTTCAAGGTGGCCAACACTGCCTTGGTAACAGTATTTTCAGAAGTCCCTGATGCATGCAATTATTTTCCCTTAAGTACCATAACTTACACACAAATAAATAGATTAACCGGGCGTGATCTCCCCTAAACTTTTTCGAATATTCTTGTATAAAACAACGGGGGATGGCAACTTGGGATATAGAAATGATTTTTAATTACTTAAACTTTTAAAAATAGAGTAGAATCTAGTAGAAAAAAAAGAAATGCGAACAAAGTGAATGGCAAACAATGAGTATAATAGTGCGGAATATTATTAGTACTTGATAAATTCATAAACGTTTTTTGAGAAACGGAAATAGCGAAGAAAAGTACTACTTCCGGTCAACAGAAATTACTCAGAATTTGAAAGAAGGCAGAGAATTAGATCTTTTACTTACATGTGAAATTTCATTTATCTGAAATTATACTTAAGTTTTAGGTTTTTGAAAAATTATTTGAAAGTTGAATAAGTTAAACTTCCGTGTACCAGAAATCGCTGAAACGTTGATACCGAACTACAAATTTGATATAATACTTATATATGAAATTTCATCAACCTAGCCATAAATGTACTCAAGTTAACGTGTGACAGACATATACACACAGACAAAACTGCCAAACTGTTTTTCAGAATCTGTGAGGTGTAAAACGTATATGAGAAAGTAAAAAGGCTCAGTTCAGTTTTTTTTTTGAACTGCCTGAATAAATAAAATATAAGAAAACTGATATATAATAAAACATTTTTTAAAAAAGAGGTTCTAACCCCCCCCCCCCCTGGTGTCATGACTATGCAATAAGGGTTTTATCTGGTAAAAAAAAATGTACATATTAACAATGACACCACATATCCAATTAAGTGAATGTAATATCTTTATTCATCAATGCTCAAATGCATGGAATACAAAAAGAAGGCTTTTATTCAGTCAATGTCCAGCACACAATAATCTTAACCTATCATCCAAAACATTTAACAAACTTAGTCCAGCAATCTTCACCTATTGTCCATAACATATAAAAAACTAACTAGATTGTTTTTCTTAGTCTCCTCAATTTTACATGTTACATGCTAACATTTTTCTGTTAGTAGATGATAGGCATCTAGCATAGTAATCCATACTATATTTTTATCTAATAAAATATAACAATTGCCCTAGTTGTATTGTAAGAGTTTAGACTATATTGTCACCAGTTGCTTATTGATAACGTGTCTTGTCATGCAAGTATAACTCACGCACAGACACATCTATCCACATGCAAACAGCCACATCTATCCACATGCAAACAGACACATCTATCCACATGCAAACAGCCACATCTATCCACATGCAAACAGCCACATCTATCCACATGCAAACAGCCACATCTATCCACATGCAAACATTCGCAGACTGTTATTTTCAACCTGACATGACCAACCAATACTAGCATTATTCAAATCACTAAATAAAATAAAAAAATCATTGCTCCACCTACCACTTAGTAAAGTAAAAACAAAAAAACAAAAAAAAAAACAAACAAAAAACACCACAACTTAGCAAAAGGCCAGCTCTCACTTTCTTTCCCATGTACCCCCAGACATTACATCCCCCCCCCCCCCCCGTACCCCCAGACACAACAGTTCATGTTGAGCACACCCCCCATACACCAAGTTACCAGGCTGTAATATATAGTAATAACAAAAAAAAAGGTCACAGCTTTATATCACAACACCCCTGCATTCAACCACTCATGGTTGACCCTGACCATGCTCCACACATACACAACATTTCTAGCAATCATGGTCAGCCTAAAATTAGACCCCTCCCCCTAAAACTAAGGGGAGAAGCATGAAACTAGAGAGAAGAAATCAGGCCAGGATGAGAGCAAGCTGTGGTTGGGGTGGAGCAAGTTATTGCTAATAAATCAATTCTACTCCATACAAAAATATTTCTCTCTCTCTCTCTTTGGTTCCAACTAGTCTTGGCATGGTTCCTAATGCTGACATGTTTACATTAGCAACCCATCTGTGGGTATCACCAAGTAGAAAACATTGCTCATAGAATGGATGACAAAATCATTTCATATACAGGTACAAAACCACAATGTCTTTCTTCAAGTATTACCTGTGATGTATGATTACGTATAAATATGTTCAATGGTACAAAAATTACTTTAAAATAATTGGAAGTTTTTCATCTATGGCTTGTCTCAACTGCAATAGAATAATTCTATTTACTTTTTTTTATACATATATTAGATGATACATGAGCTTTTGGAGTGCCTATTACATGTAAGAGAAATAACTCTTGATTACAATAATAATAGGGACCTACAAATAGAAGAATCAGTTCAGATCAAACTAGTGTACAGTGTCAGAAACTATTTACACAGCACCTCTGGTGCCCAACTGTACACAATCATACAAAATATCATGTCTTCAACCGCTGCTCAGCAAGTCTAGGAAAAGTGACCAAATATTTATAATGCCATTATTGTTGGTGTATCATTTTGTGTAAACATTTTTCATAATTTTTAAACTTATGATAGAACATACACTAGAATTTTAAAAAATGTCAAAAGGAAAATAAATAAATGTACAAAAGAAAAATGAATTGCTTTTCTCTTCGACAACACATTTACTACAAGATATGAACTCATTGCTTACAATTGAAACAAGTTATTTCAAATGTACAGTAGAGTGACTTATAAATCCTGTAACAATTGAAGCTTGATTGACTGACCAGGTCTCAGATGATGGGTTCTCCGCTGTATGATGGACACAAGAGACAGCCCACTATCCTAGACACAAGGTTACCTGCTAGCAAATAAATAATTCTCTCTGTTTTGTGCTGGTTCTTGTCTCCAATCATTTACACAGGACACACAAAGAAAGAAAAATGCCAATTATCACAATAGGTAGAGTCTGATCCACTGGCCCTCATCAGCCTGAGGTTGGTGGCTGGTCCTACACCACAGCTGGCTCAGCCTGAGGTGACCAACCTTGGTCCAGTGGTGTCCATTTCCTGCCAGAGACCACTCCAGCACTGTAAGCAGTCAATGAAATTTAGTTGACCCTTAATGTGTGGGACTCCATGGGTGCAGCAGAATCATATAAAGTGTCAGTATCCTGAGTGGGCTCCCCTTGTAGCTGGCAGTGCTTGCTCAGTGTTCCAGCACCGCAGTCACAGAAGAAACGATCATGGCGAATGAATTCTACATCATGGCCCGCATGACATGTATTTATACAGTTCACACAAATTGCATTGCGCTCTGTTGTGTTACATGTTCGACACCTTCAAGGAAAAAAGAATTCATAAATGGATTGAGAAACTATCAGAACCACGCAATTTGACATGACAATTTTAGTTACATATACAGTAAAGTTTTTCCTATTGAGTGACCATGGACACATACAAGTACAGATGGTAATCACTTGAACATATTGAAACAAGATCATAGTCACAGGTCTCTGCTAAAACAAAATTTATGGGACAGACCAATGTTAAAACAAGATCATAGTCACAGGTCTCTGCTAAAACAAAATTTATGGGACTGACCAATGTTTAAACAAGCAATCTTTACCTGAAGAACTTGTGCATGGGAAAACTGGTATAGCTGGAGATTTTGTACAAACATTGGCCAGAACTGACCGCTCTGTCCACCATGTTGTGGTTGCCAAAAATGACATTGTCTGGGAAAACATGAAAGCCAAAAAGTTGACCTAAAACAGATGACTCAGCTTTTCTACACAAGTGCACCACACCATACTCAGATTTCAGACAGCACAACATGTAGAGATAAACACACAAATAAAATTCAAGAAAAAACAAAACAGAATTTAAAAAATGAAAGTTAAAGAGAAATCTAACAAATCTTCAAGTAAACAGAAAACATACACCAGCAACATAGTGTAATCAAAGCTCTGAATTAATATAAATACGGGGGAACCCTCTAAATATTTAGAAAGTTTCTTGGCTAAAATGTATCAATCTTTTACAAGTCAATGATTGTAAATGGATAGAAAGAAAATGGTTTTAACAATTATAGCCCATGAACTGTATGGGTACTGTCTGTTATAAAGAAGTGAAACTGACTGAACACTGAAACAGATCTGTTAAAAAAACTATTGATCAAACTGACCTACTACCAGCCACAACTACCAGGCCTACCTTTCATAATAGGCTCCACACCAGTAGCTAGACACAGACCACCAAATTTGTTGTTAAATATTTTATTCTCCTCCAGCGTGGCACAAGCGTTGTTTGTGATCTCTACACCAGCAGCCAGACCATCAAAGATTCGGTTACGTCTGAGGGTGGGGTGGGACTGTGTGCTGATCAACACACCAGCCTGTGCGTTACGGAATATCTCATTGTTTTCTAGCAGACCTGGTCAAAACAAGTGGTAGCAATATTAGCACACAAGAAACATGTTCACACCCTTAACAGAAACCTCATTCAGATCATAAACTAAAGGTAAACACATGAAAACTTTTGGTTACCTTTATTGTTAAAATACTTTGATTGTTTGATTAATTAAAATTTACAAGGCATATTTGAGAAAATTAAAATTTCAACTCAAAACGTATAGTTGCTATATTTTTGTAGCCATATTTATTATTTAACCCTTTAGAGGCCTATGCCCTAGCAGTTGCCTGAGAATATTTTTTTTGTGTGGTACAGTCCAGTGCGCCAGTGGCCACCCTACTATGCACAGTACGTTTAATTTTGCATAGTAGCGGCGGAAGCATGAAATAATTAGTTTTATTTACGTTGTTTTCTCATGGTTTTATCACTAGTAATTCATTTTCAAAGATTTTTCTTAAGATTAGAATTTTTTCTCTCAAAATTACTGGCAATATAAATGGTGAAATTAAATCTAATTAAAATACAACTGCCATTGAATTGGGCTATATTTATAATGAAACTATTGAAAAAAAAATTAGCTCCAGTGATTAAGGTGAATTTTTTTTAGCATTTAAAATAATTTTAAAATAGTTTTGATGCCCAGACTGGTAAATGGTTACGACTACATTAGTAGTGCAAGTGTCTGGACCAAGTCTGACTTGTCTAAAAAATTGTGTCCATCTACAGTTTAGCAGATACTAAATGCTAGATAAATAACTTCATTCAGAATATATATTTTTATATGACTACTAAAATTAAAGTGATGAAAATCATGATGTGACAGTTTAACTTGTAATCTGTCTGAAATTCAACATAGAATAATTAAAACAGCTAAAAAAAATGTTTGGTTTTTAAAAATAAAATCTCTCAGACTTCTCTCCATTTGCTAAGTCTGTATCACAAAGAAGTGCTTTTATGACCATAATAGTATGATACAAAGAGGATGAGAAATGGCATCAATCCCAAACATCCTCAAGTTGAATAAGAAAGTCTCCTTACCTTTGCCACCATTAAATATACAGATCCCTCCATCTCTGCCATCATGTATTTTATTGTGACGTAGCACAGGATTACTGTCTGTTTTGATCCATATGCCAGCCATAGCGTTGTCAAAGATCTCATTGCTCTCTATCATGCCTAGGCCACCATTATAGACCAGGATACCCCCATTTTGACCGCCCCAGATTTTGTTTTTTCTAATAAATGGATTACTTCCTGTCCTGAAACAAAATGTGGGAAAACAACCAGTGAAAGATGTAACGAGAATGTAAAATGTGGGAAAACAACCAGTGAAAGATGTAACGAGAATGTAAAATGTAAGAAGCCATAAATGTATTGAAAGAGCATGTGACTGACCTGATCTGAACACCTGAGTAGAGATGGTTAAAGATGTCATTGTCCTCCAGCACCCCATGGCCATTGTCATAAAAATACACTCCAACCTTAAAAGCAAGCAAACAGATTGTCTCAAGGGCCCGGCTATTAGGCTTTTATTTGTAGTATAATAGCCTACTTCATTGTGACAAGAAAACTTATTTTTGAAATACAAGTATACGACCACAAGAAAAGACCTCAAATAAAATGCTTAAGATTCCACATTATAAAAATTGTTCACCAACCTGTTTTCCACTGTGTATTCTGTTTCTCCGTAGGACAGGGGTACTACCTGTTGTGATCCAAACTCCAGCTAATGTATTAGAATAGACTTCATTCTCTTCAATTAGCCCTTTGCCTTTTTCGTGCTGAAATGATCACACTCATTATATGAAGAAAAGATGCCAATAGGGGAAGACTAATTAAAAATTACTTTTCAAGTACAAGCTTGCTCCTTTAAAAAAAAGTTCACCAGTAAAAGATATCAATAACTTAAAACAACAACTTACCACATAGATCCCACCATGTTGACCATGGTGGATTTTGTTGTGCCTGACTATAGGATTGCTGTTAGTGCGGATCTGTATACCGGCTAATGCATTGCCTAGAAAAATAAGATTTTTTAAAAAATTGCATGGCCACAAACAATAGATCACATTAAACACAAACAGAATCACCTCCTAACAATTCAATTAGATGTATAGCTTTTATATCTGCACAGTAACAAATCTTGTCATTTTGGAAGAGTAGCAGTGTCCTTCAATATAGAGCAGGCCTATGACTTCATTAGCTGACCTATTAAGAGCAAGGTCATGACCTCAATGGGGGACCTGGTTAAAACTAGGTCATGACCTCAATGTGTGACCTGGTCAGAGCAGGGTCATGACCAACCAGGCTGGAGTAAGGCCATGAACTCACCAGTTTTTTTATCAAAAAGATCTGAAACTATTCAGCCCTCTGTTTCAGCTCAATAAAACTGAACTTAAGTTTGATGTAGTTACATGCTCAACTTAAACACTGTCTAGGGAGAAAACAAATGAAACAAAACAGCTCTACTAACCATAGATATTGTTGTGCTCTATTAACCCTCTTCCATCACCAAATATGTAGACTCCTCCTTGCTGACCATTGTAAATCTCATTTTTTCTGACCAAAAATAAATAAATAAACAATATAATACACAATTCTACTCCATAACAAACAACAGACTAGTCCCTTCCTAAACTATCAGCCATCACTGACCTGATGGTAGGATCACTATTGGATGTTATCCACACCCCAGCAAAGTTGTTGGAATGGATCTTATTCTCAATGAACTGTCCCCTTCCATTCTCATGCACATAGATGCCCCCAGTTTGGCCATGATGAACCTCACAGTGAATTACAGTAGGATTTGCTCCTGCCTTAACCTCAAAGCCAGCAATGCGGTTGTCGTGGATATCACAGTTATCGAAGTAGCCCTAAACAAACAGGAGTCATGTTTTAGGTCTGTACAGTTAAAATTGTTTCTAGATTTTAAAAAATTATACTACAAATGTAATATGAGATTTATGTTGATACCATGTTACTTTTTTTACTGATTATATAAATGGCAAGCATAAATAAAACTTACCAATCCATTATCAAAGGTAAACACTCCAACATCACGTCCATGGTGTATGTGATTACTTCTCATTATGGGGTTGGCCCCATTTTTAACCCAGATCCCAGCTAAAGCATTGCCACTAATCTCATTATTTTCATACACTCCCTACAGAGAAAATAGACAAACATAAAAGAGTGTAAATGTAACTTTTGTATACATTATGTGAACACATCATACACTGTCAAAATAAATATAAATATTTTTAAGACACATTAAAAACAACAGGTCAATGATTACCTCAGCCTTGTCAGTCACATAGAGACCAACATTTTCACAGTCCCGTATGACACAGTTGATGATGGTAGGGTCAGCATTCTGACCAGACACACAAACAGCTGCTCCAACTAAACAGAGACAAGAATGATAGTGCATAACATAAACAATTTCTCTTATAACATTGACTATTTGGTAATGGAACTCAGAGCTAGCAGCTATGGACTATTTGGTAATGGAACTCAGAGCTAGCAGCTATGGACTATTTGGTAATGGAACTCAGAGCTAGCTGCTATGGACTATTTGGTAATGGAACTCAGAGATAGCAGCTATGGACTATTTGGTAATGGAACTCAGAGCTAGCTGCTATGGACTATTTGGTAATGGAACTCAGAGATAGCAGCTATGGACTATTTGGTAATGGAACTCAGAGCTAGCAGCTATAGACTATTTGGTAATGGAACTCAGAGCTAGCTGCTATGGACTATTTGGTAATGGAACTCAGAGATAGCAGCTATGGACTATTTGGTAATGGAACTCAGAGCTAGCTGCTATGGACTATTTGGTAATGGAACTCAGAGATAGCAGCTATGGACTATTTGGTAATGGAACTCAGAGCTAGCAGCTATGGACTATTTGGTAATGGAACTCAGAGCTAGCAGCTATGGACTAGTTGGTAATGGAACTCAGAGCTAGCAGCTATAGACTATTTGGTAATGGAACTCAGAGCTAGCTGCTATGGACTATTTGGTAATGGAACTCAGAGATAGCAGCTATGGACTATTTGGTAATGGCATCCAGAACTAGCAGCTATCCATTCTATTCCCCCCCCCCTCCAGGTGTGAACCCAATAGCTAACATCATGGCTTACCAACAGATAAACTTTTTATTTTACAATGGTCAATGATAGGCTGTGTGTTCTCTGCAACTTCCAGGGCATAATGGCGGTGATGTGGGACGGTGGATGTGCTATCAGGAGAAAACTGAAACACAGGAAACACATTCAGAAATGTATTTCAAAACAATAAATCACTGAGAATTAAAGGACAACTAGCTTGTGGCTGCTAATGGCCTAACCAAGCAGTAACAGAATCAAAATACTTACTTTAAGTGTTACATAGCCCAAGTAAGCCCGTCTGCAGCCTTCAACAAACATTATGGTAGATTCTGTTTCTCGCTCTATGATAACATGGTCCATTACATTGCCAGGTGCTGGAATAATTGGTGACAATGATGAGTTATTTCATTTTTACAATCCCATCTTTCAACATTAAGTTTATCCTGAATATCAACTGGCCAGTAAAAGTGAGTGACTTACCAGCACCAATTAAGGAGACGGGTGAGTCTATCAGCAGGAACTCCCCATGGTAAACACCTGAGTGGACAAAGATCAGGGCATCCTCCAACTCCTCTGTGTCAGCAAAGTTATAAGCCGACTCAATGGTGTCGAATTTCTGGGAGGAAATACATGACATCAATTTAACTAGCTTTACTTCATAGGCAATCAAATTTTAATTTCCATAAATTAAGGCCGACTAAATTCCACTAAAAACTAATTCCTACTGGTATTGTTTTATCTATTTGATAGCATGACTTACAATAATGTTTCTGCCTTTCATCCGTTTGCCTTTTAAGGTTTCACACACTGGGACACTGTGTCGTGAAACATGAATACCTCGATACTAGGGAAAAAGCATGAAAAAAATGTAAGCATGTGATAGGTGCAGCAGGTCCTAAGTGACCTTTCTCTGTCTGCCTGAGGAACACACCAACTAAAACTCAAGGGGTACTTATGGTAATCAACTACTGCTCACTGTTGCATGCTGCATGGCTGCCGGGTGGATATTTGGGATGAGCTGCCAAGTTTTTTCTTTGCTACAATTAAACAATTCTAAAGCATTGGAAGTAAAGTTAAAGAATTTCCTCTCATTTACTATAACATGCGCTGATTTTTAAAAATCTCATATTTTATAACATGGGCTAAGTTATAAAATAAAAACAAACCCAGTCTAACTTCTTATAAATGCATTGGGGAATGTTGTTAACATTTGTTTGTTAAGGGCTTCTAGTGCCTACAAGAGCCCACTTGCCTCCACAGATAGAAACATACAACCTACCAGTTGTTTAAAACTTTCCTTCCATGGGTTGTCATAGTTTGGATCATCTGCTGAAACAAACTGGAACACACGTGGTTCTGGGTTCATCAAAGGGGATTCATACTCAAACACTTCCATGTAAAGTACTTTCCTATAATGGGTGATAAGGGATTCATTTATTAATACAGTCCAGTGGATGACTAGTTCTAAATGCAAAAGTACAGCAATAAACAAAAGAATAGTGTCAAACTTACCATAGTTCATGATCATTTGTGATAGCCCGAAACCTCTGGCACACTTGGGCAGCACTACACAAATCTAGTTCTTTGAGAAATGAAAAGATGTAAAACATCACCTCGTCCGGCAGTTCATGCTGCAGGTAGCGAGCAGCAACACGACCTAAAAAAATACAGAACAATACTAAGGGTTTGGACAATGATTTCATTGACAGTTGATATTTGAATTTTCTACCTGATAGTTACCTACCTTGTGGTTGTAATGCTGGGTTGGCATTTGATTTTCTTCTCTTTTTTTGTGGTTGTTGAGACTGATCTGAGTTAGATGTTCCTGGAACACCATCAGTACTATGTGATCTACGACGCCGAAGGTAGTATCTGTTGGATGTGTCTTCATTTGAACCACCAGCATCAGCTGCAAAGAATTCTGTTGACAAAACAGAACACAAAAAATAAAACATGATTTGTTGTTTTTTGCATAATTTAAAAATCAAAAACTAAAAAAATGACTAATCAGCTAGCACTGTTCCATTGACATAAAGGATTAGGGACTTTAAAAAGAACAATATTATTAGTCTTATGTCATATTGTAAAAAAAAAAAACATATCTAAACTCCTCTGATACTAATGAATTACCTGTTCATAATTATTTAATTAAAATCGTATAGGCCTACTATTAAATTTTAAAAGTATAAATTAACATTCTGCATCTTATTTTCTAGGACCTGTGATAAAGTAATATTTTCATATTTGGAAGATATTAGCCAAGTGGTGGATTTTTATTACCAGTGTCCAATAATAATTATGTGTGTTTACTGGTAATACATATATATACTAATATATAGTCATATATTATGACTTGCTTGTCAATGCTAACCCTATCCTTAAGCCCAAACCTAGTCCTACCATACACCTAACGCTAATTTCTAATCATCAAATATATTTTTGGAACATTTATCAAGTATCTGTAACGAGTAATGATGTAATCTGTATCCTCAAGCATCTGATGCCTAAGCTACGATGTACTGCCAAATAAACTACGATCTACTGCCAAATAAAGTGTAGATTCTCTAGTTTCTAGAATTCTAGATTGACAAATTGATTTAGAAACTAGATCTTGATTCTACCGATTATCATCATTGATAGAAATACTAAGTACTTCTTAGGCCTAACCTAAACACTAAGTCCTAAAGTTAAAGTATTACTATTAGTAAGATTCATTGCCTTTTTATTGGAATCTATCTTCCACTGGAAGTTCCAGCTAACAGCTAGATTCTAGATCTAGACTAGATCTAGATTCTAGATTGAGATCGGGAATTCATACTCATAGGACTTAGTAGATTAGATCTCTAGATTACTCTAGAATCTAGATCTAACTACAAGATTAGATCTAGATCTACTCTAGATCTAGATCTAGAATCTAGTCTAGATCTATATTCTAAAAATCTAACAGAAAATTTTTATTTTGTTCCTCTCGTCAGTCAGTCAGTCACTCCCAGTTACTCAGTTACACATTCATGTTATTACTTGCCTGTATTTCGATACTTGGACGATGTAGACTTAGATTGAACTTTTTTCCTAAGATTTCTTGTTTTTAAACGAGTAGTTCTGGCCGAACGTGTAGACATCGTGGCCAATATGTATTTAATAACAGTGCAAATTCAGACCGATATTATAGAAAAAGGGTTAGTGCGAGGCCATATTGGATTTGCTACTAATCACAGTGACGAATAAGATTCACCCGTTGGAATCACGTGGCAAGCATTGTCCAATCACTTAAAATTTCCATGGAATCTTAATATGGCGCTGATGAGTCCCCAAAAAATATCGAACAGCTGAAAATTAAATCTCAAGCGTATTAAAATTTCAATAAACCATGAATAAGAAATGTTTAAACAGTATAAATACACAAAATAACTTAGCACCGAGACACTTGCTTCTCATTGAGAAGGTGGATCTTATTCTTTCTCCTTTAAACGTGTCAGTATGTGTTGACTCATGCAACATTCAATCAAAACATCAAAATAAAAATGTAAACAAATGAGTTTATTTATCTTAATGAATGGATGAAATAAATAAATAAAAATAAATCTCTAGTTCTAGATTCTAGTACTAATGTAATATTAATCTGATAAATCTACACCACAACTTTAAAAAAGATTTCGAGATCTAAAATTTAGACTCCAAACTAAATCTATTACTTATTACTAGATCTAGATCTAGATCTAGATTATAGATAATAGATAATAGATATACTGATATAGACTATACTATAGATCTAGATCTAGTCATACTCATAACTTAGTAGATCTACTAGTACTAATACTCACACTAAGCTATTAAAAAATTAGTACTAACTTACTAACTAAAGGTTACGGCCATGACCTGGTAGACTAGCTAGATCTTTCTTAAATAGTAAAATACTTAAATTAATAAAATAATTTAATACAAGAATAGATAGACTATCATTATAATATTAATCTAACAACCTATCTTGCTAAATCGTTTTAAATTCTGTGGATAGTGACCTAAAAGGCTAAAATAGTGAATAATCTATATAGATCTATATATAATTCTCTTCTTGGAGACCATAGAAAACACCAAGCCCACCCCTACATGGTCTGGTGAGCGGTGTTTCACGCTAAATGTTTACAATCGTAGAGCCTGGTTTAGTGAGGGCTACTAGGGGCAGATAATTTAGTTTGAAATGATTTTAAACTTAGGGGAGGTAACTAAGAGGAGGCTGCTTTCTCGGGAAGGGGGTGGGGGGGTATCATCCTTAACAAGCTACTGATAGTGTTTTAAAGCAAATATATTCAGTGGCAGCATTGTTACTGTCGAATTCACAAATTATGAATTACTGAAAAGTAGAAAATAAAACAACTAAATAGTGGCGTATGATACCCTGCGGGTCGGCTCGTAAATTAGTAAACAATGCAGCTGTGTTGGACTTTTGAATATAAAAATAAATAAACCTGATTATAATTATAGTATAGCAGCATAAAAAGTTACGAAAATATATGATTTTATTATATCCTCAAACCCAATTTTATTTCAGAATAATAAATTCTAAAAAGTGAAAACAGTTTAGATCTATATATTAGAGACTAGACTGCACAGGTGCTGAACCATATGCATCATATTTAAATTAAGAACTAAAAGGTGGAAATTATGTCCTAAGTAGTGACCAAAAAAATAATTAGTAAACAATGCACAAATGCACGCACACAGACACACACAGACAGGATTCTGGCTCCAGAATACTGTACTGTAAAACATCAAAATTTGTTTTTTAGATTTTTTGCAACGATTGCAATACATTAGTTATATTTCCTATATGACGAAGGAAATAGTTGAAAAAACTCAAAATTTCATGTGATTTTTGTGTATGATTGCAATACTTTCCCTATACTCTGAGAAAGTAAAAATAATTAATATTTGTTGCTTCAGTTCCTTTAGTGTTTGACTTGTAGCCCTAGCTTTATTTTCTAAATAATAATTTTCTGCCAACTTTATCTTTAGGCCTTTGACCATTCAGATGTAGAGAAGAAAGGCTATCTGGTTTATGATGACATTAAAGTGGCAGCACTCATGTTGTTTGGACACAAGCTGTGTAAGGTCAGAAACCATAACTCTCACTAAACTATGTAGTTAACAGCCACTACACTTGTATGTAGATTACTTTTAAAAATCTCATTAAATTTGTTTACTAGGCCTATATAAAATTAATTAGGGGCCTTGTGTATTACTAATTGGTCATCAAAACACCACACCAAGAGGAAAGAATAAAGCATCACAACATAAACTCATTTTCGCATTTTAGTAGAATTATTATTGTATCAAAAATATTTTATTTAATTGTTATTATAGATCGATGTATCTTTGAATAATTTGATCTGGATTTTTTAAAAATGTATTTATGCGTTCAAAGGGAAACTACTCATTTAATATTTTAGCGAAACATTCTGACGTTGTTATATCCCTTTACATAAAAATGAATTTAAAAAACACACATAAAAAGCATTTATAACAAGCTTTTATGTATTAATTCACTAAAAGGAAGAAAGTGAATGATTTACTTTAAATATTTAATAATTAACTACTATATTTAGAATTAAAAAGAAAAACCTGGGCTACTATATTATATATTGAAAACCTATCAAAAATTTAAGAAGTGACCTACACTTTTATTTTTACTATTTTTAGTTGTTTGAATAATATTTCATAATCAACTATTTAAATAAAATCATTTGTTTTCTTCTTTTTAGTGCATTATAATAACAAAGGCGTGTTATAATTTTTATGCATTTTTGAATTTATGGACACACGTTCGAAGGGAAATTACTCATGTAATATTTTCAGTGAAACATTCCAACGTTGTTATTTCCCTTTACGGAAAAATGTTTTTTTTTTTTTAAAAGCATGATCTGACATTTTAGTTGGATTTGGGTCTGACTTTTTATTTCCAACTGAATCTTCTAAGTGTTTTTATTGTTACTAATATAATTCTTTGAATTTGTTATGAACAGATCTAATTGATGGTAATTGAGCTGCATTTCCTTTTTTGCTATTTCTACATACGTTCAAAGGGAAACTACTCATTTAATATTTTTAACAAAACACCAAAATATGGTTATATCCCTTCTGATTAAATTTTTTTTTACAAAATTGTGGGAGTGAGATCTGTTTTTTTTTTGTCACAATGGGGTAAAAATCGGCATAAAGAGTGACGTCAATTATCGATGACACAAAGTGGCTTTTTGTGAATGGAATATTCATAATTCTACAATACACTATTTTTAGTTCTACATAAATCTTACTCTTAAACTGATGTTTGCTAAAATGTTATTCACTAGGCTGAGGTCCAGCAGATGTTAGCTGTGCATGGATCAGAATACAAGACTGGGATCAAAGGTCAGCTTATCCTATGGTACTTTCATTTTAATCTAACAATTGATTAGTTGACAGTGATGTGTGCCTTAAGACATGTCAAGCTGATGTGGCTGTTTGTATATCTAATCTGGGTGTGTTGTTTAACCCAGTGGGCCAACATGTCTTGATCAGCTGATTGTTTCTACAGGGTTGTCCCTCCCCCAGCTGACGGCAGCCATGACACCCAAGTTTAGAGCAGAAGATGAGGATGAGAAGATCAGGAACACATTCAAGGCTTTTGACAAGAATTGTAAGTTCAAATACAATTTCCTTTTTTAGAACCGAATTTCTGAAAATGTTGACAAGAATTGTAAGTTCAATTAGTTTCTTTTTTTAGAACCTAATTTCTGAAAATGTTAACTTTTTCTTTGTACTAATTATGGTGTAACTTTATGTAGGTCAAGGTTTCCTAAAGATGGAGGATGTGAAGAGGGTTTTTAGCCAGGTGTGTCCACTTTATCCAGAACACAGGGTAGAGTTGGCATTTAGGTCAGTTTTTACTTCATTCTTTACAGTAAGAGTTGGTGCTAGTTTATTCTCTACATTTATGTGCATGTTATGAAAAGATTTTCAAAGAGCCTGAAATATTCTCCAGGGAAATTGATCGAGATGGTGATGGGCGAATAAGTTACAAAGATTTTGACTTTATGATGAAGTTTAACAACCTGTTATGACCACCCTGTGGACCAAGCAAGACTGTGATAGGTGCAGAGATCAAATATAACAAGGGCAGCATTTCTAGGCAGATTTATTTTTACATTAAAATAATGACAAATAAACAGATTTTGTTACGTTGAACATTTTAACAATTACAATAAATAAATGACTATGTACAATATTTTTACAAGTACATGAAATGTACAGAAACGGTTCAACATTTGGCTACATAAAATGTGTACAAGAAAACATTTCCTAGTCCAGCAGGTTAAAGATACTGTCTTGTCTTTTGACTGGGGGAGTTGCACAAAGTTTAGCTTTCTTGGCTGCCTGCTCTGTACAACTGTGTGCCTTGCGTTTAGGTGGATGGGAGCTGGACTGAAATGTTGAATTCATAGGTTCATTGGTAGTGCTTGGTGCCAGCTACATACAAGTTTGTAGTGCTTGGTGCCAGCCACATACACGTTTGTAGTGCTTGGTGCCAGCCACATACAAGTTTGTAGTGCTTGGTGCCAGCCACATAAAAGTTGGTAGTGCTTGGTGCCAGCTACATACACGTTTGTAGTGCTTGGTGCCAGCTACATACGAGTTGGTAGTGCTTGGTGCCAGCCACATACAAGTTGGTAGTGCTTGGTGCCAGCCACATACACGTTTGTAGTGCTTGGTGCCAGCCACAAACAAGTTGGTAGTGCCAGCCACATACAAGTTTGTAGTGCTTGGTGCCAGCTACATACAAGTTGGTAGTGCCAGCCACATACAAGTTTGTAGTGCTTGGTGCCAGCTACATACAAGTTGGTGGTGCTTGGTGTCAGCTACATACAAGTTTGTAGTGCTTGGTGCCAGCTACATACAAGTTGGTGGTGCTTGGTGCCAGCTACATACAAGTTGGTAGTGCCAGCCACATACAAGTTGGTAGTGCCAGCCACATACAAGTTGGTAGTGCTTGGTGCCAGCCACATACACGTTTGTAGTGCTTGGTGCCAGCCACAAACAAGTTGGTAGTGCCAGCCACATACAAGTTTGTAGTGCTTGGTGCCAGCTACATACAAGTTGGTAGTGCCAGCCACATACAAGTTTGTAGTGCTTGGTGCCAGCTACATACAAGTTGGTGGTGCTTGGTGCCAGCTACATACAAGTTTGTAGTGCTTGGTGCCAGCTACATACAAGTTGGTGGTGCTTGGTGCCAGCTACATACAAGTTTGTAGTGCCAGCCACATACACGTTTGTAGTGCTAGGTGCCAGCTACATACAAGTTGGTAGTGCCAGCCACATACAAGTTTGTAGTGCTTGGTGCCAGCTACATACAAGTTGGTGGTGCTTGGTGTCAGCTACATACAAGTTTGTAGTGCTTGGTGCCAGCTACATACAAGTTGGTGGTGCTTGGTGCCAGCTACATACAAGTTGGTAGTGCCAGCCACATACACGTTTGTAGTGCTAGGTGCCAGCTACATACAAGTTGGTAGTGCCAGCCACATACAAGTTTGTAGTGCTTGGTGCCAGCTACATACAAGTTGGTAGTGCCAGCCACATACAAGTTTGTAGTGCTTGGTGCCAGCCACATACAAGTTGGTGGTGCTTGGTGCCAGCTACATACAAGTTGGTAGTGCCAGCCACATACACGTTTGTAGTGCTAGGTGCCAGCTACATACAAGTTGGTAGTGCCAGCCACATACAAGTTTGTAGTGCTTGGTGCCAGCCACATACAAGCTTGTAGTGCCAGCTACATAAAAGTTTGCAGTGCTTGGTGCCAGCTCCATACAAGCTATCAGTGAAACAACAGGAACTATGTACTTACATTAACAGTTGAATCTTGAGCCTCTGGGTCAATAGATTGGAAGATAAAATTCTTTGAGCTTCTCCCAGTCAGCAGTGTGGATGGTGTGGTCAGTTTGACCAGTGTGTCCTCTTTTCTGGACAGGAACGATCCTTTCTTGGTCAGCTGAGGGGAAAATGTTAGGTTGCAGTTTAAAAATTTCAAATGAAGAAAAAATGGTTGCATTAAGAATGACTGCTAGGAGATAAACTGGGGAGAAATTTACCTTAGCTTTAGGTGGTTCAGGTGGCAGCATCTTTTCTTTGGTGGCATTTGTCTTTATGGGGGCTGTGAAGGATTCTGGGGACACAATGTCAACAAATGTATAGAGAGAAAAACAAAGCTGGGAGACTAGATGTAGCATATCAGCTGGTAGAGGTGTTTACAAGATACAGCTAATTGAGCATAATGTGATAGAGAAGATATCAAACCAACCTCTTCTCTTTAAGTAAACATGCCCAAGTTTTACAAGTTGACTATCTTCACTCGATGGATTTGGCTCCTGTTGATAAACATGCTATTTTTAGAACCAAGTTTGAAGCAACCATTGGACATTTTTTAAAAATCAAAGACAACAGCAAGAGATGCAATAAAGTCTAACTCACTGCCTCAGCTAAAAACTTTTCCCGCTCGTATCTGTCTTTCCTCCATTTGATCTCATCAGCATCCTCATCTACTTGATCATCATCCGAGATGTTGGCAAACAAATCTTGCTGGGACTGGTGATCTGTTGGTGCAACAAACATTGGACTCAACTTGCACTAAATATTCTAAAAAATGTTTAGCACTTTCATTTAGTTCATTACAGTTAATGTTCCTTGTCAAGAATTGAGTAATAAAATGGCAGACAAAAAAACTCTTCAGTAACTAAAGTTTACAGAGCCCCACTTGCTTCACTGTTGGTTGCTGCATGTTGATTGACACTAAAAGCTCAAGTCTAACCTGCATTTTTCCATCTGAAGTTTCTCATCCTGCCCCCACCCTCAGAAACTAACCTGCATTTTTCCATCTGAAGTTTCTCATCCTGCCCCCACCCTCAGAAACTAACCTGCATTTTTCCATCTGAAGTTTCTCATCCTGCCCCCACCCTCAGAAACTAACCTGCATTTTTCCACCTGAAGTTTCTCATCCTGCCCCCACCCTCAGAAACTAACCTGCATTTTTCCACCTGAAGTTTCTCATCCTGCCCCCACCCTCAGAAACTAACCTGCATTTTTCCATCTGAAGTTTCTCATCCTGCCCCCACCCTCAGAGTAAAGGTCGCCATCCTGTAGGTACATCTCCTTGTATAACAGGACCTGTCTGTCATCATCATCCTGCAGCTGTTTCCTGTCAATAGGTCATGTAGGTGTGGTTGGTAGTTCCACAATAGGTCATGTAGGTGTGGTTGGTAGTTCCACAATAGGTCATGTAGGTGTGGTTGGTAGTTCCAAATAGGTCATGTAGGTGTGGTTGGTAGTTCCACAGTAGGTCATGTAGGTGTGATTGTAAGTTACACAATAGGTCATGTAGGTGTGGTTGGTAGTTCCACAATAGGTCATGTAGGTGTGGTTGGTAGTTCCACAATAGGTCATGTAGGTGTGATTGTAAGTTACACGATAGGTCATGTAGGTGTGATTGTAAGTTACACAATAGGTCATGTAAGTGTGGTTGGTAGTTCCACAGTAGGTCATGTAGGTGTGATTGGTAGTTCCACAATAGGTCATGTAGGTGTGATTGTAAGTTACACAATAGGTCATGTAAGTGTGGTTGGTAGTTCCACAATAGGTCATGTAGGTGTGGTTGGTAGTTCCACAATAAGTCATGTGGGTGTGGTTGGTAGTTCCAGAATAGGTCATGTGGGTGTGGTTGGTAGTTCCACAATAGGTCATGTAGGTGTGGTTGGTATGTGAACCCTGACATACCAACTCTCACGTGAACTATCAACTCACATGTGAACCCTGACCTATCAACTCACATGTGAACCCTGACCTATCAACTCACATGTGAACCCTGACCTATCAACTCACATGTGAACCCTGCCAACTTGTTCCCTCAGCTTCTCCTCTGAGACTCCGGCCATCTCTTTATCTCCCTCTTCCTCCTCCAGAATGTCATCCTCCTCAGCAAGGTCAAGGTCCTCATCACTTTCACATTCACTGCCTGCTCAAACAATGGTTAGGTTTCACTTACACAACACATAACTACACATAAAAAACACAATGACAAAACAAAATGAGATGTGAAACTACAAAACAAGCCAATGAGTTGGATACAAATCTCTCCTGTACCTGACAGTTCAGCCTCATCTTCAACAAACTCTTGTCTTATTCTGTCAACAACAAAAAAAAAAAACTTATCAGTTTTATTAGATCTGTTAGTCATGAGTCGTATTACATTTCATGTTATCAAGATATTTGTGTGATCATTAAATATATTTATGGATACAAAGTTATTTTTGTAATAAATTTGTGTACTAGTCTCTACCAATGATCAAATGTCTGCAGCGTACCTGCGTTTTTTGTCCTTAAAGCTGGTGAATGTAACAGGTTTGCTGGAGTCATCAGAGTCCCCACCCTCTTCCACGTCCGTATCAGCTTCTCTATCCCCCACCTCGCTGGTATCATCTTCACTGTCTGACAGAACTTTCTAGAAAAATTAAATTGTGCCCACATTAGGAAGACAATCAGGAGATAATGTTGAAATGGACATCACCATCTACACTAGAATGTAACACTCAAGGTAAGCTAAAATATGCCACCACCAAAATATGTGGTAGCAAACTAAAGGCTCATCAAGCCCACGACACAGAATTTTGGCAGCCGTGGTTTATGGCCCACACATCACCAGGAGTGATGGTAGCAGTGTATGGCCCACACATCACCAGGAGTGATGGTAGCAGTGTATGGTCCACACATCACCAGGAGTGATGGTAGCAGTGTATGGTCCACACATCACCAGGAGTGATGGTAGCAGTGTGTGGTCCACACATCACCAGGAGTGATGGTAGCAGTGTGTGGTCCACACATCACCAGGAGTGATGGTAGCAGTGTGTGGTCCACACATCACCAGGAGTGATGGTAGCAGTGTGTGGTCCACACATCACCAGGAGTGATGGTAGCAGTGTATGGTCCACACATCACCAGGAGTGATGGTAGCAGTGTGTGGTCCACACAACACCAGGAGTGATGGTAGCAGTGTATGACCCACACATCACCAGGAGTGATGGTAGCAGTGTATGGTCCACACATCACCAGGAGTGATGGTAGCAGTGTATGGTCCACACATCACCAGGAGTGATGGTAGCAGTGTGTGGTCCACACAACACCAGGAGTGATGGTAGCAGTGTGTGGTCCACACATCACCAGGAGTGATGGTAGCAGTGTGTGGTCCACACATCACCAGGAGTGATGGTAGCAGTGTATGGTCCACACAACACCAGGAGTGATGGTAGCAGTGTATGACCCACACATCACCAGGAGTGATGGTAGCAGTGTATGGTCCACACATCACCAGGAGTGAGACAGTTGATCAACAAAAGAACCCCTAAGAAATCTCTATAAACTTTCTCACCTTTATTCTAGAGAATTTCCTGGGTGATTTGTTGACTGATTCTTCAACAGAGAGAATGGAGAAAGGATCGTAGACATCATCACTTTGGTAGGCTGCTTGTTTCACCTGTGACCTGAGTGACAATTGGTTGTACTTGTTGGGTGTGACACTCTTGTCTGGACCAGCCCTACAAGCAGGAAGTGGCAGCACATTTAGTTGCAGGGAAGCTCAACAAAACCATGCAAGTTAAAGGAGAACACTACCACTCCAAACACAAATTGGGCTAATTAAGACGGTTCAAAGGTGGAACAGAAATGCTTCAACATGTGGCTGACTGACACAACAAGACACAATGGTAAATTATTTTTTTAAAGATGGATAAACACTCAGTACACCTACACATTTTGTTGATAGTTATCTGCCCTTCCCCCACTCAACCTACCATTAAATACACACAAATAAAACCATTTTGTCAACAACAAAAAAAGATGAAAAGGTAGTACACTGTAAGTAGGTCAGACAGGGGAAGAAACTCACCCAAAAGATCCAGAGCAGAGCCCAATAATTTCTGACATGTTGCTATCACCTTCATCCTTCAAGTCACCCCCCATGGACTGGTACAAGTCACCCCCAACAGACTGACTCCCTGCTGTATTCTTGCTGAGGTCCTGGGACATCAGGCCTTTGAAAATGTTGCCAGCAGTAAAAGGCAAGCTACACTGGTCAGCTGGGGAGCAATACAATTATTTGTTACTTAAAGGTCATAAGAGGGTCTAAGGCAAGCTACACTGGTCAGCTGGGGAGCAAAACAATTATTTGTTACTTAAAGGTCATAAGAGGGTCTAAGGCAAGCTACACTGGTCAGCTGGGGAGCAATACAATTATTTGTTACTTAAAGGTCATAAGAGGGTCTAAGGCAAGCTGCACTGGTCAGCTGGGGAGCAATACAATTATTTGTTACTTAAAGGTCATAAGAGGGTCTAAGGCAAGCTGCACTGGTCAGCTGGGGAGCAATACAATTATTTGTTACTTAAATGGTCATAAGAGGGTCTAAGGCAAGCTACACTGGTCAGCTGGGGAGCAATACAATTATTTGGTACTTAAATGGTCATAAGAGGGTCTAAGGCAAGCTACACTGGTCAGCTGGGGAGCAATACAATTATTTGTTACTTAAAGGTCATAAGAGGGTCTAAGGCAAGCTACACTGGTCAGCTGGGGAGCAATACAATTATTTGTTACTTAAATGGTCATAAGAGGGTCTAAGGCAAGCTACACTGGTCAGCTGGGGAGCAATACAATTATTTGTTACTTAAAGGTCATAAGAGGGTCTAAGGCAAGCTACACTGGTCAGCTGGGGAGCAATACAATTATTTGTTACTTAAAGGTCATAAGAGGGTCTAAGGCAAGCTACACTGGTCAGCTGGGGAGCAAAACAATTATTTGTTACTTAAAGGGTCATAAGAGGGTCTAAGGCAAGCTGCACTGGTCAGCTGGGGAGCAAAACAATTATTTGTTACTTAAAGGGTCATAAGAGTGTCTACATACAGGAGTCAAGGTGTTAAATTTGTACTGAATTAGGGTTCTCTCCTTTTGTAATATTTACACTGACACTGTAGTAAATCTACTCTCCTATTTCTTGTAAATGTAGATACACAAACTTACCCAGGGCATCCAAGTTTGAAAAACTGCTGGCTGATTCAAATGGGAGTAAACTGCTTTTGACTACTGGAGCTTGACTTCTTTTAATAAAACTGTTTGTAGAAAATTATTAGGTAAAACATAAAAAATTTGAATTGTTAATTACAAACTTTTTTTTATTTAATATCAGTCTTTAGTGACATATGCTAAAAACTCGGTTAAAAATCAATGTGAAATAAACAGAGACGAACCCATCGCAATCAATCAAAGGGGAGCAGGGAACAGACTGGGAGGAGTCAACAGGGTCCAGCACTGTGCTCATCTGGGAGGACTCGACATGCTCCACCACTGTGCTGATTTGACTCACCTCCGAGGTGTACAGATCTGGGGACCTCAGGAACTCTCTCTTGTCCTGGGTGGGGGGAGTTACAAATCTTATCAAACACTTGTACAAACTTACGTCAGGTCACAATTTTTTAAATGTTCAAAGTTATCAAAATTAAAACCAATTTAAAATAAATCAACCACATTAATGTAAGCTGGTGAAATAAATCCAATTAAAAACCTCCTTCCCCACTCACAAACCCAAGTCTTTCCTTACCTCATCATGATCATCCAGTTTATTCCCAGCCTTTCCACTGGACAAAAAATTGATCAGCGGATCTAGACAGAAATGTTCAAATCACATTGTGACCACATTGTGTGAAATTCATTTCTTATATTAACAAGAAAAACTTCCTCAAAACCAGATAGTTTTTTCTTTCTATTTGTTTACAACTGACATTTTAATATTTTTGTGTTTAACTAGTCTATTTAGATTGTAGAATTTAATTGCTTAACTTCTGATGTCGACAAACGACAATGTTTATATTGTGTTGTTGCGCTGCTGTTTCTACATTTTATTGCTTATTATCTATATACTACTAAAAGTCAAGTTTGTTTACATGTTTGAATATTTATTTTTTTGTTTTTTTGTTTGTTTGTTTGTTTGCCTGATCAAGTATCCTGATATGTTCGGCTCTATCTGGAGAGCTGTAAAATAGTATGTAGGTAGAGAATAATTTTTTAATGCAGACAGACTGTTAATCACAAATTTATTTAAAGAAGTTAATTAATTTATTGATTTATTCATTGTTAAATTAACCGTATTTTTTAAAAAATGTTAATACTTTGAATAAACTTTGTGGGGATAGTGACGTCCCTTGATAGTGACGTCAGAGTTTTTTGTTGACTCTTTAGTACAATAAAATGGCGGCGTCTATCGAAGAAAATTGTGTTCCCATTCCAAAGTTTAACGCCTTCTAAATCTAATTTTCTGTCGGTCATAACTTTAACAATACGTCCGTTTGCTGTATTTATTACGTTCCAACACTTATATCAATTTTCAACTGTCTTTTTTCATTTAGTTTTACAATAAATTTCTCTAGATCTAAAGATCAGCTGTCGAAGGAAATTTATGAATCTAGCAATCTAGCGATTCTAGCCTAGATCTAGATCACTAAACTCAATGTAAATTCTAAATCTAGACTTAATGTAAATTCTACATCTAGAATCTATTTCAGGCCTTAATACATCTAGAATCTATTTCAGGCCTTAATTATTTTATATAAATCTTTGTTTGGCTAATTTAAGATAAAATTTAATTTGAAAGTTACTACTTCTAGACTAGACGCTCGAAATCAAGTTGCATCAAAGTATAGTATAAAAATTCATTGTGACGTCAGGAGTAAATAGCTAAGTTTGTAGCGTAGTCCGCTCTCATGCGAGTGGTACAGGTTCTAGACCAATATGTCAATGATATTTTTTTTCAATTTTTTTTTTTTTTAGATGTTAATGATAAAAAATGATTTTTTTTTTTCAATTTTTTTTTTTTTAGATGTTAATGATAAAGTTGCCTATCTGAACTTGGCAGGATACAGGGCAGGTGAAGTAGAGTTCATCTGTTTCTTTGTCCTAACCATATGAAAGGATAGTGTGGTCAGAGACATGCTCGGCTGGAATCGTTTTTTAAACGATAAAAACATGTTGTCTGAGACTTGGCGGGACACTGGGCAGGTGAAGTAGAGTTGAGTAGGTCACATGTGACGTCAGTATATGAAGGGATAGTCCGAAATCGGTGTTTTCGGTGTTTTTAAAAGATAAGAAACATATTTTTGAATGTGGGCTCTGTTTTTGTGACGATAAGTGACACTGCAGTAGCGTAGCGAGGAGGGGGGGGGGCGGGTGGGGAGGCGGGGGGGGGGGTGGGGGGGGGGAAGGGGAGGCGGGGGGGGGGGGGAGGAGTGAGGGGGGGGGGGGGCGGGGGGACGTATGTTGGGGCGCCAAAATGGTTTGGAAAAATAAATTGAAAGGTTGAGGGGGGTTCAAATCGAAAGTTTGAGTGGGGGGGGGGGGGGGGGGGGGAGGGGGTGCACATCAAAAGTTTGAGGGGGGGGGGGGGGGGGTTGAAAATCGAAATCTTGGGGGGGGGGGGGGGGGGGGGGGGGGGGTTAAAATCGAAAAGTTTGTCCCCGGGCGCCGGGAAGGCTCGCTATGCCTCTGAGTGACAGACGTGATGTTTTTTGATGGATGACCCCCGAAACCCACAGTTATCCAAGGGATGACGGGTATTCTAGTTCTAATAAAAATTATCCAGTTAAATAAATGGAAAGCAAACTTTGTTTCAGTATTTTTAGGTTTCAAAATCAAGGTGGAGTTTGATTTAAGTGATTATTTTTTTTAAAAAAAAAGGGCATCAAAATGTTCATTATTTTGATGTAGCTGCATGACTTTAGTATTTGCTTATGGATGACTTAAGACTAAGTTGTAATGGGGATTACACATTATCTAGATAAAAATAGCAGTGATCATAATATTTCATTTGATAGGCAGACGTGGATATATCTAAAGATGGGAACCGCTAACAATAGTAGTTGTAGTGTTCTGCCTTTCTGCATCCATTACGGTGAGGCACATTAGCTATTTGTGTGGTTATCAGTTTATTTTTGTTCAACTAAATGCATCATTTTACTAATGATTTTAAAAATATTTGTTACTGTAAATTTTATTGAATATATTTTTATAAAACCCTTATTTTTGAAGTACAGCCCATTTCCTTAGGATCAGGGAAGAGTAATGTGCTGTGGCCCAGGAGCCAAGAAGTTAAGGAGTTTGACAGTGTGGGGGATATCAGGGACTGTTGAGTGGAGCATACCTTTATCTATGTCTTCTCTGTCAGCTGGTTTTTCTTTGCCATCATCTTCATTATCACTTTTATCACCACCAACATCTTCATCATCACTCTCAACTATCTGTGACTTATTTTTCTTTCGAGAGCTCAACAAAATATCTGTAAATTTAAAAAAATTCTATCACAAAGCTCAAACTAATAAATATTTAGATAACCAGTAGCATTCACTGGACATAGCAGACAGGTTTGTCACAGTACTGGGATTAAAGTGGCTTTGTTAACCAGTGTCTAGACATGAACAGTTATTTTAAGACCAGCCCTGACCTTCATTGTCCGAGTCCTCCGCTTGCTCCTCATTGTCTGAGGCATCAAAATGGAGGTGTATCTCACTCACGTTGTCCTCACTGTCTTCATCATTGTCATCTCCATCACTGTCATCATTCTTGTCATCTCCATCACTGTCATCCACTGCTTCTGTATCCAGTAGCGGATTGTACTAAACAGCGGATCAACAATTGTGACAGTCAACATAATTAGATCCAAATTGTAACAATAAAATGTTTCATGACAATTATGTTGGGAAAATATTTTAATTTAAATAAAAAACAAGTCAAAAATGACTCATCAGTAAGTAGATTTTGTACATCAAAACATTTCTTCAATTGACCTGAAGAAACAAATAAGACATGTTACTTGTACTCACATCTCTCTCATCATCAGAATCTTCTTCAACTCCATTGATCAACTTCTCTACTTCTTCCTCACTAGATTCTGAGCTGCTCTCTGATAGCTCTTCCTCCTCTTCTTCCTCCTCCTGCTTCTCTCCTTCAAAACCTTCCTCATTCTCTAGAGCATAGAGCTGCAGCCTCCTCTGGCGCGCCTCTTCTCTCTTCTTCTTCATGCCAGCACTCAGCTCCTGCTTCAGCTTGACCAACCTGGCGCCTACACACACAGGCAGGAGATCACAGAGAACAGTTCATCAGGACATTGGTATTCATATACTTTACTTCAATGTAAAGAGGTGTAGATGGCATTTAGTGGTACTGACCAAATCAAATGCCATAAATAAAAAGTTTTTAAAACCATGTTAGACAACTGACCTGGAGTTTCCTCTTGCAGGATGTCCTCATCTGACTCCACATGATAGGTCAAGGTCTTCAGCTTGAGCTTCTGGTGCTCACCACTCTCACCCTCCTTCTCTACAAGGCTGGCAATCAGAGAAACCATGTTAGACATAATCAAAGATTGTAAACATTCAAGTACTTCAACAATCAATTTTTTCATTAGCCAGTGATTGACCAGCCTGGGCATCAAAACCATTTTACTTACCTTATGGCCAGGCAAAAAGTTGATGCATTTTTCAACCATGGCACATTTTAAAAATAATTTTTAAAAAATAACCACTTAAGTTTAAAAAATAAAATAAAAATAACACAAATACCAGAAAAACGTAAACAAAACTACTGCTAATATTATTTCTGGAAAATTTTTATTTTAAATGCTACAAAAAAAAAAATTTCAACATAGTCCCAGGAGCTACTTTCTTTTTCTATAGTTACATTATAAATAAAGCCAGATTCAACGGCATAGGCATTTTAATTAGATTTTTATTTCACTAATTATATTGCCTGTAAATTTGAGAAAAAAAAAGTTAAGTTTAGAAAAATCGAAGAAAATGAACTACTAGTAATAGAACGAGAAAAAAAACGTAAACAAAACTAATAAGTCCCCGCTGTCGTAGGTACCCTCAAAATCTTGTTACCAACAAGACGTCTGCTACTACGTGTAAATATGCGTACTATACATAGTAGGGCGACCACTGCGCACCGTACTGTACCACACAATATTTTTTCGGGCGACCGCGGGCACATAGGCCTGTAAAGGGTTAAAAAAAAGTGTGGGTAGATGTTCATATACGTACATCTCATCTAACATGTTCCTTGCCTCTATAGAACAAAAGTGTGTGGGACTTTAACGTGTGGTGCAGTAAAAAGACTAAAAAATGGTAGTGATGCAAGCTTACAATGTGTGTGTTGATGCACAGCTTAGAGGGAATGTTTGCATATTGTAAAGACCAGATGTGTAAAACAAATTCACCTCAGACTTAAAATCATGTGCTACTGACCACGTGTAAAAAGAATAAAAAAAACCCTCACCTGAGATTAACATCATGTCCAGCTTTGTGCTTCCTTGGCCTAGCATGCTCAGCAAATTTATGCATGAACTTGACCAAATCTGGATTCTTTGAGGCGGCCTCAGGCTCATCCAGGCAAATAATCCCATTGGGTGAGCCAGTGATGCGTGGCAGGGCTGGAAGATTCAAAGTCTCAAGTTGCTCCAGCAGACTGGGTTTTGGTGGTTTTTTTAATGCTGGGCTGCCATCACTGGCCTTGTCTAGGCCACCCACTGCATCCAGCAATTTGTTGGCAGGAGCTGTTGTGTCAACAGCTGCTTGTCCCAGGCTACCTGCTGCAGTGATTGTCTTGTCAGGGGTCAGGTCATGACCCCCGCACTGATCTGTCTCTGTGGACTGGTGAGCTGAGCCACTGACACTCTGGGAGAGAAATAAATCCCGGGATGGGTCTTTAGATAGCGATGGCACAGAGAAATGGTCAGATGATGGCACAGAGAGATGCTCTGATGAGGTAACGTCCTTGTGGCTAGAATCTGGAATTTCTTGAGTTGGACTCTCCACATTTCTGTGGCTGAGGTCAAGCTGACCAGCTGATGTGAGGTCACACTGACCAGCAGACGTGTGGTCAGTGTTTGCTGGAACCTCTGGTGTTGTGTCTATAGGAAGGTTTAGTCTAGCTGGCACTATATCAGGTAAAGCATCCGATTCCTCAACAACCTCTGGACTCACAGTTTTTAAGTCCCCTCCTTCAAGAGTAGCTGTAGTTGTCTGCCCTTGTGATGCTATCCCAGAATCATCAGGACAGGAATGAGTTGCCACCTGATCTGCCTTGGCCTGATATTTCATCTTTCTGGGGGGTGTTGGTAGTCGGGGAATGGAAAGTTTTTCTTGTATCACATGTGCTTTCCTGGAAACAGAATTCATTTATTACTGAGTCACAAATATTGCAGTTCAACAGTTTACTGCTAACATTTGCTTATAACCTTTCAAGGAAAACCTAAACCTTTTGATATGAAGTTAAATCAACAATCAAATAATATTTTGAGCGCAAACCCTTGAAAGTAAAATAAAAGTAACCTACACAATATCTTTAGCTCTCTTGAGTCCGGCATATTCTTGTCTTTTCTGTGAGGCTCTAGCCAGGAAATCATTGAGGGTTTTGGTTTCTGGTTCATAGTAAGGCAGGTTGACACGCGACTCTGAAACACAAAAAATTCTTGTCATGGTATAATTAACATTCATTTCTTGGCTGATATTTTTTAATTGGCCAGTTATGTTCAAGTACCTCTAAGCATCCTTTGTGAATCACTGTAAATCTCTAGCATTTTCTCTGCTGATGGTTTTGCTTTTCTAGAATATTTGACTCTCTCCTTTTTAGATTTGGACGCCCCCTGTTCAGGTAAAATAATATACAAGTTTCATGATACAACGCCAGATAGAAAATTATACTCCACACATGACCTTTAAAACTGAATTTAATTACTAATGTTACCTTAAGCTTTTTTAATTTGGCCAAAACACCAGCATTTATCTGGCTCTCATCAAAGCCTTCATCTTCATTGCCTTCCTCATTGCTGGCATCTTCGTCACTGCCTGGCCTAACAGCATCATCCTCAAGCCCTGGGCAATGTTTCAAACAGGTCAAATAAAATTATTTGATACCAAATTTTCTAACAGCTCAAATATAATTATTTGATACCAAATTTTCTAACAAACCCAACTCAAACATAGGCCTGGTCATTAATGTTGAAAAGTATTTGTTTTCAAATGGAACGTAATTAGTATTGCACAACAATAGATACGCCATCTAGAGAAATAAAATGAAGTACAATATACTGCATGAGACGGAGTGGTCTAGCGGTAGAGAGCTGGACTGCTAACCCGTAAGTCTCGAGTTCGAATCCGGGTTCAAGTCAGTAGACCAGGGCTGCCTACCCCAAAAAAATTTTCCCCGTAACAAGAGCATAGGTTTTCCGTAATTTTCCGTAACTTTCCGTATTTTTACACATTTTTTAAATACAATGTAAATAAGACCCATATTATATGATCGTAAAGCTCATCAGCGTAATGATGACAGTCGGCGACTCGTGCTACTTTTTATTTTATGGACTAATAATTAGTTTTTTAAAAAAAACGCCGTTAAATTCAGAATGTAAGGCGACAATGGAAAATTTCAAATAGGAATTGTTCTTGCAATGAGTAGTATGACGTATGTTATAGGCCAACACTACGGATATCTAAACCAATGTGAACTCAGTGACCCCTCGACTGTGTGTGTGTCAGGATTTTTTCTCCCGCGAACAAGAAAACGTAAGCGGCCGACGGGTGACGATGTTTAGAATTAGCATATTTCTTGAATATTTTTTTTTAAATCTACATTTTATCAATGTAATATCTAGAAGAAAAAAACAATTTTAAAAATATGATCCGTAATTGATCTAGGTGAGCCTAGATCTCGATGTTTAGTAATATCTTGTCTTCTCGCACATCTCAAACAAAATGCCTCGATATCTCGCTATTTAGGCATTTAGCCGTAATACCGCCTCAGCAAATATGTCTCGCCAGACTGCGCGATGAGACTTTCAATGATTTAGGCCACGCCCTTTTTTTTTCTCTACGGACAACACCGACTCGCGGGGTCAATAGTTCACAATATAAACACGACTGCCGCCAGCCATGACAAGAGGGGGAGGGGGGATTGTTACGGAAGAGGCTGAGAACCTTAGAACCGGATAACACACTGAAATACTGAAATATAACTAGCTAAATTAAAATATATAACTCAGACCGGGAACATAAAGTTAAGTTACCACCAGAAATTTTTTTTTTTACACTAAAGTCGATTTTGATCTCTACTGAAATCAAAACCGTAATTTTGCAGCATAATCGTAATTCCGTAACCTGGGTGTCAAAATCGTAAAGTTACGGGCAAAACCGTACAAGTAGGCAGCCCTGGTAGACAGTCCCTGAGTCCACCCAACTCTGATGGGTACCTAACTTACGTTAGGGAAAATAAAGGCGGCTGGGCATAGTGCTGACCACACTATCTCTTCATATGTCGAGGTCACAGAAACAAGTGAACTCTACTTCACTTGCCCCATAGACCGTCACGTTTGAAAGGGTAACTTTACTTTACAATATACTGCAGCAAAAAGGAAGATCTTACTTGGTCTGTCATCGTCATCACTCTCTGCATCAAATAGTTCCTTGTTCTCCTTCCAATCTATCAAAAGCTTGGGTGTGTCGTCATCTTGGTCATCATCATCAGATGGGAAAGTGAGAGGTGGGACGGTCTCTTGATCGTTGTCAGCATTGTCTGACCCCACCTCATGGCTAGTGTCACCATCATTCTTTACATCTTCATGGCTTTCATCATCCTCATCATCATCAAGAATCATTCTCTAAAAAAATATGAGATTATATTATAAATATAATCATACTAAAAAAAATGAGATAATACTGCTAACATGTCTAAATAATAGCATCTGAAATTTTAGCTTCACTATATCAAATTTTGATTTCAATACCATTTGCTCTTATAAGAACAAGACAGAAAAAATTGTTGTACTCTTGCAAAATCTAACAACTTCAAAATTTCAATCTCCATCAGAAAGAACAAAAAGGTCTAAAAAGAAAACCTTGCATTAAGATGGTCTTAGACAAAGTATAGAACCAAACCATGGTGTAGACCTCAAGCTATGTCCTAAGGACTATTTAATTAATGGTGGCTATTATTCAAACAACTATTTAAGCTATGTATTAAGGACCATTTAATGGTGGCTATTATTCAAACAACTATTCAAGCTATGTTCTAAGGACCATTTATTGATGGCTATAATTCAAACTATTAAACAACAAGACAAATCTCTTATGTTCTTACCCGTCTTCTAACCTTTGAACCTGCACTGACAGAGACAGTAGCAGCATCATCTTCTTCATCAGATACAACTGAAAAAATAAATGAATGTATGTAAACTGTGAACCAAAAGAACCGTATCATTAAATATAACAGAACACTTGACCAGTGAGTATTCAGCAAATCAAGTATAAATAAGCTTGACCGCGGACACCTATCAGAAAACCACAAATGAAACTACCTTTTGATTGGTTGAAAGACTCCTCCATGCCAGAGTCTGACTTGTTTGTCTCCTCCTCTGGATCAGCCTTGCCAGTGCTCACCTGAAATGTTTGTCGTAATAAATTTGTTATAATGGGACCCTCAAAATTTATCACCAATCTAAATTGTTCTAAATGCAAGTCCTGAAATGTAGGTTGTAGGTCAATAGTTAAATATAGAAATCACTATTGCAGCCCAAGTGATTCAGGTGAGAAAAGTTTAACATTGTCATATTGCTTGAGTATTGCAGAATCAAATACTCATTTGAAATTAAGCTATAGGCCTACAAATTTCAGTTTTTCATCAAATACTTATTTGAAATTAAGCTAAAGGTCTACAAATTTCAGTTTTTCATCAAATAGCCTACTTTTTTTAAATTAAGCCATAGGCCTACACATTTCAGCTTTTCTGACTAACTTTACCCACAGGCCCTCAGTTTGGGCCTTAATTATTTGATAATAATAATAACTCTGGATATACTTTAAAAGTACTACTTTGCAAATGCAATGGGGCAGGTTAATTAATTGAATTATAATATTATATAATAATATTACATAAAATTGTGTGTGACAGAATTTAGAATTTAAGCAGGAGGTAATCTCAGGATATAGGCCTAGGGCCTTGTGTTTGTTATTATTCCTGAATGGTTTAGCAGTAAAAGAATATAAATAACAGTGTACAGTCTGGCATGCCATTTCGGAATACACGGAAAGTCCTGAAAACAATATTTTATTTGCCATGATGTTACAATAAAAGGCTTACAGCTTACAGAGTGTTTACAAATTTTGATTGATAGAAAGAAGATAATAAAATTGTCTATTATTGCTAGTGTTTTTCGCAGTTCAATGCTGCTAGACCCCTAATCAATTTTTGCTTATCAGGAATTTTTTACTAGTCTAGATCTAGATAATCTAGATCTAGATTTAACTAGATTTGATTACTGGGATTAGATTTTAGATCAAAAGACTAGATACTAGATCTAGACTAGATGACTAGATCTACTCATTCTATTAATTCTAACAGAACAGTCGCAAATTTTCTGCAAGCTTTTATTTGTGATTCTTTAGGTATAAATAAATAAAAACAATGACAATCACAATGGTTTATGTCATTATGATGGTACAGTGTACACCACATGTACATAGAATCTAGACTAGATCTAGATATCTAACACTTGTCACTTGACAAACTCAAAATATGAAAATATTAAGATTTGAAGATGCTGCAGTGGATGTAATTTCCTTAGTTCCAAGTTTGCATAATTATTTAATTTGAGTGTAACAAACACTAATAATTGACATTAATTGATGCCTCGTGCATCATTTAGATTTAGGTAGATTGTAGATCTTCTAGATCTAAATCTAAATCTAGACTCACTCGTCGGGCAAAGAGTCACAACTACACCCGACAGTGGCAGACGCAACTTTTTTTTTATTTTAAACACAATTACAATTATTTATTTTATTAGACTGATAGTGATAGTTATTGATCTAAAACCTGATTAGTATGATCACTAAAGAGATCCTCCGCAATCATTCCGTTATTTAGTGACAGAACATTTTTGTATTTTTATTGAACAAATCTAAATGTATTGTCAAATGTAGATTAGATCTAATGCAGACTAATGCTTCATTACTTGGCGCTACAGTACAACCATCAACAATAATAGCCGAACTTCCCGCTTGATGACGAAGTACACTAGCTGTCGCAACTACACACATTTCCGATTTTTCCTACATGTAGTTTATTGACCAGATAAAATTTTGATAAACTGGACATTGAAATGAAATCAAAACATACAAACATTTTAAAAGAGATCTAAAATTCACATAGAACCTTTCAATTTTTGTTAATTACGGGCAAAAAAAAGTGGAGAAAACTATTGAACCTAGCTTAAAATAATAAAATACGCGAATATCTAGTCAGTAGGTCATCGCTGCAAAATCAAATTCTGTTGTTCTTGTAATTTCACACAGAGTTAAAAATATAAAACAAACAACGATCGACTTGTGTTTACGTTTATTAAAGTCGTCCAAAAATGATGTCCCACTTCTGAGGGGGGGGGGGGGTGTGGATGGATTTTTGTAATGTTTGACATTGGTTAGTGAGAGAGAGTGTGTGTGTGTGTGTGTTTTCCTTAAATTATTCTTCCAGACATTTTTTTTTTGTGTGGAGATTATACAAAAAAATAATTGTATTGGTACCCAATGTTTACCCAAGTTGGTTAAAGTTTTAAGGGAAATAACTGTTTGAAAAATAAATTTAAAAAACTACAATTCAAGCTTTAGGGGGTGATGTGACTATCTTCGACGATAGAGAAGAAGGTAAAATCGTTTGAGAAAATCACTGAAACGTCACGCATGGGGGAGGGGGGGGGGGGAGATTTTATAATAATTCGTTATGAAAGGGAGGGGGGAGGTAAGAAAGTTATTTCTTTTTTTATTATTTTATGTTCAAACTTAAATTAGGTCAAACTTGCTTTTTAAAAAAAAAAAAAAAAAAAAAAAAAGAATGTTTAGTAGGAGAGGGGGAGGTATAACTTTGGTGTTATTTAGGAAGGGTTCTTTAATTTTGTAGTGTCGCGCGAAAATAGAAGTAAACCAAGATTGAATCTACGTAGAAAATAAATAATATGACCACCCCCACCCCTCAGCTTATATACAAGATAAAATGTCTGAAGGAAACCCTGAATTAGACCGTTATTGTTGTCAACATTTTTGTTTAGTTCTTAAAAATAATTTATCGTGTTGTCTCCCTTTGAATATAAAAACAGGGCCAATCCTAACTAATTTCAGAGTTTCTCTCCCCTTCATCTTCTAAAATAAAGGTTGGGAACAAAAAGTTCGAATTCGGGCTATATGTAAACATAGAGGAGAAAGAGTATTCATTGTCGACACCCAACTACCTGTATGTGTATGTATGTATTTATGTATGTATGTATGTATGTATGTATGTATGTATGTATGTATGTATGTATGTATGTATGTATGTATG